ATGTATTACAGGATTTTCAACAACGAATTCAACATTAGCTTTCTCCAACAAAAAAAAGATCAGTGTGAGGATTGTACATCATACAGTAATGCCACAGAAAACGATAAGGTAGAACTGAAAGAAAAGTTTGATAGGCATTTAAAAGAGAAGGATTTGTCAAGGCAAAATAAAGAAGATGACAAAAAATTTACTCCTGATAATTGTATTGTAGCAGTTTATGATCTTCAGGCTGCAATGCCTTGTCCTAGAGGAGATGCATCAAACTTTTATTACGTGTCAAAATAAAATACGTATAATTTCACAATATGCGATATCAAATCTAAAGACACTGCATGTTATGTCTGGCATGAAGGTGAAGCTAAACGCGGTGCTATAGAAATAGGATCTTGTTTGCTTAAATACATACAGAATTTAAAGCTTAAAGCTGAAGAACTAGATTCAAAATTAGATATAGTCTTTTATTCCGACAATTGCTGTGGCCAGCAAAAGAACCAGTACATAATAGCTCTTTATGTATATGCAGTTTACCATCTCAATTTTATTAATTCAATAACCCACAAATACTTAATAAAAGGGCACACCCAAAATGAGGGTGATAATGTCCACTCCCTTATTGAAAGAGGAGTAGGTAAAGCTCTAAAGTCTGGACCCATATATACACCTGACCAGTATGTGCACATTATAAGAAATGCTAAAAAATCTGGTAAAGCCTATCAAGTAAATGAATTAGTACACGAAGATTTTTTTGATATAAAAGCGTTGGCTTCATCGATAGGCAAAAATTTTTCTAAGAATATGGACAAAGAAACGTTAAAGCTAGGAGACGTCAAAATTTTAAAGGTGGAATCTAATGACTCTAGTTACTGTTTTTCCTATAAAACATCGTACGAGGACACAGAGTTTAAAACAGTCATGATAGATAAAATTGGTAAGACAAGAAACACTGCCAATAATATCACTGTTAAAAAGGCATACAGAGAAAAAATCCCAATATGTGAGAAGAAGAAGAAGGGTTTGCTAGACCTTATTAGGAAAAATATTGTACCAAGATTTTATAAACCGTTTTTTGAGAATCTCTAATTTTTATTATTAATTGTGTACCTGAAGAAGACTGATTATGCGGTAGTTGCCAGATGTTTGATAGATTTTTTTGTTTCTTATTTGTAATGAACCGAATTATTTTTAAAAAAAGCACAAGTTTGTTATTTTTTTTATGTTTATGGTTCATAATGTTCCTAAATATTTTTAAAAAGCAAAACTTTGTTATAATGTTATTTTTCCTAATTACTTTTAAGAAGCGTAATAGATAGGTATTGTTGTTTAGATTTCTTTTATGTTTGTGATTCCTAATATTTTAATGTGATAATTTTAATATGCGTACTGGTAGCTACCTTGATGACAGTAATAGACATACTGCAAATTGTTATAAAATGTGGACTATTTGATGTTTATATTAATTTTTTACGTATATTTTGTATGACAGCATTTTCTTCTAAAAATACTTTTCTACAGGTTTGTTTAATCTCTAAATTATCATATTTAGAGATTAAACAAACCTGTAGAAAAGTACACAGAAACAGAAATGTGTTACTCTACAGAAAAAATCGTTCCGACGGCTTCAGCATAAAACAAATAAATTGATTTGTGTTTGAACACACTTTTCATTAATATTATCTTTATCGTAATTGTGTTACTATTACAGATTTTTTTTATATCTTGTAGATCATATTACCAGTTATGCCATTGTAAAACTAAAATTGTGAACTATTCATATGTATTATTTTGATTTGTGTTCCTATTCATGATAATATACCAAAACTCATTTTGTAACAAGTCGAATAAGTCATAGTTTTTAATTATTAATTAAGGTATTCGCAGCTTAAAACCTGAATTTTTAAATTATAATCAAACCTTGATTAATGTCCTTTCGATTTATATATTCTACTCTTATAATGATTAAAAACATGAAAAGTTATGACAGTAAATATTTTGTTTAATTTTCAAATAGCTACCCTGTAAAATGTGTGTTTTTGGATTGTGCGATTATTCGTGCAAAGCAGCGACATGTAGACTTGTTAGAAAGTTTCTGCAATGTGAACCAGAAAACCCAGACCAAAACACAAACACGCCACCATTTTCTGTGCAATCTTCTACACGTGACCGTATTTAATCCAACTGATAATCACTTGGCTTAGGCCCGTGTTATCAGCTCTTCCCGGCTTGCCGAGAATATAAAATCAATATAATAATAATAATAATAACCATTTTCATTTACAATTATATATTTATACTGCCCAACCAGATGAGAAAACTTTATAGATACCCCAAAATAATAATAATAATCATTTATTGACAGACAACAAAGGCCCGTAAAAAAACATAATTACTTATAATCAACAAACATAAAAAAAAATTAAGTAATATCAAATAATAATGTAATACAAAAAATAAATAACAATTAAATAAATGCCATCAAACAAATTAAAACTTACATCTTAACATACTAGACTTCACTACAATTTTGCGTTAAAATTAGTATAATCGTGTTTCCAGATTTGAGAAGATTACTTCTAAATCTGGCCACACGATGTCTTATCAAAGCATCGGGCGTCGGTACGCGTGCCTCAGCGAACATTGTAGATGCACTACAGTACCTCGGAAAACGAAATAATAATCGGAACGAATCGTTATATTGAACCTTAAAAATTCGATAGTTTTCCTTTTTAAATTTAGTCCAGAGATGCGGTGTGTAAAGCGATTGGCAATAGGTTTTAAATAGTAATATTTTAGCATCTCGCTCACATTTATTAAATTTCCTGCCAATCATATTTGCACGTACAGCAAGGGATCGCCTTTCTCTGTCCATGTCCTGATCATCCCTCAGGTCACTCGATACGATATGTCCTAAATATCGAAAGCTCGTCACAAACTTCAAATTTTTGCCGTTCAGGTATAATAGTAAACAAACATCTTTACTATGCGCTCCAAAGACCATAGCCACAGACTTGTCTATATTATAAACTAAATCGTGGCTTGCTGCGTATCTCTCACAACTAGAACTTAACTTCCTCAAGGCTCCGATTGAGGGGCTCAATAAAACCATATAAGGCTTTAGTACCATGGACCACATACACACTCTTCGGCAAATTGTACAGAAGACAGAAGAGTACAATCTGACACTTTGCCACAATGTGCCAAGTTGACTGTCGGTATATCGAAGTGCTGAAGTGCTTGTACAGTAGAGCTACGATGGCTATCAGAGTATAGAACCAGAGTACGAAACCTATCCAACTGCAGAGAGGAGTAAGACAGGGCGACGTTATATCCCCGAAACTCTTCACCGCTGCATTGGAAGACGTTTTCAAGCTACTGGACTGGAAAGGATACGGTATAAACATCAATGGCGAGTAAATCACTCACCTTCGATTTGCCGACGATATAGTCCTTATGGCCGAATCTCTGGAGGACCTAAGCACTATGCTCAATGACCTCAATAGTGTCCCCCAACGTATAGATGTTAAGATGAACATGGACAAAACAAAGATGTTTAACATCCATGTCACACCTATGCCGGAAGTTGTTGGGAGCACTTAGCTCGAAGTTGTTGACGAGTATGTTTACCAGGGACAAATGGTCCAACTAGGTAAGTCCAACTTCGACCGAGAGGTCAATCGACGGATTCAACTCTGTTGGGCAGCATTCGGGAAATTACGGCACATCTTCTCGTCAGGTATACCTGAAAATTTGAAAACGAGACTATACAACCAGCGCGTGTTACCAGTGATGACCTATGGAACTGAGACATGGTTCTTCACTGCTGGCCGGATGAGGAAGCTCAAGGTTGCTCAGCGAGCTATGGAGAGGGCTATGCTCGGAGTTTCTCTGCGTGATAAACTTAGAAATGAGGATATCCGCAGTAGGGCCAGGGTGACCGATATAGCCCAACGGATCAGTAAGCTGAAGTGGCAATGGGCCGGCCATATAGCTCGAAGGACCGACAACCGATGGGGAAAAAAGGTTATCGAGTGGCGGCCTCGAACCGGCGGACGAAGTGTTGGGCGTCCCCCCACTAGATGGAGTGACGACCTGGTAAGATATGCAGGAAGTCGATGGATGCAGGTGGCTCAGGACCGTGTTTTGTGGCATTCCTTGGTGGAGGCCTATGTTCAGCAGTGGACTTGTGAAGTGCTGTAATTATGATGATGATGAATGATGAGAACCAAGCCATTCAGGGTGGTGGGCGTTAAAATCACGATCATTGCGGATGGGACTTGTTGTAGCACGGAGTCTGCAGCCATTTGGACGTGAGTCATCGCAGTCTACGCGTAGCCAAAGGATGGACAGGTCCGAACATTCAAGACTGCCGAGGCGTCGAGAACAGATGTCCTCTCTGACGTATGAGTCTCTTATGTTGCAGAAATTCACGGATAGCGTGACAGGGGTCGCCTTGGTCTTGTTGCTCAGTTTGTCCCGAGCAGTTATTGTTTTGGGTGGAATTTAGCCCCCCCCCCCCCCCCGAACACGCGGGGCAGCCTAAGCACGCATGCTCACAAGTGGAGTGGCATGGTCGTGGATGCTCAGCGAGGGATTCTCCAGGGGTACTGGTACCCTCCTGGGGTAGTTTTTGATTTAATTCCGCTACCATGTTGATGGGGGGGGGAGCAATTGGGCCTCCGGCCACTCACCAGACGAAACGCAGAAGCAGAGCTTCCACTTCACGCCGGTATCCTGAGAGGTCGTGGTACCAACCCGGCTCGAGTCGGCCCATACGTGCAACAGCAAAAGCTGCCGCGTGGCTCTCCCACCGTTATAATTCTCTTTTATTTTATATTTTACATAATTAGGTTAAAAATTTAGTATACTCATAGCGGTGAAACGTTACAAGAAAACTGACGTATTTTAATATCATACTAAATATCTTCACTACGATGAATAAAAAATCACTTCAAGAAGGATACAAAATATGCAGTGCGAAAGAATTTGTATTCCCGACAAGGTACCTGTAATGCTCTATATAATGGTGCACGAGGTCCCCGCGAGCCAGCTGGCAGTGCTCGTAGGCGGCCACGGACAGCAGCAGGTAGCCCAGCGCCACGCTGTGACTGTCCGAGAACGCCACCAGCTCGCAAACTTCTTCACACACGCTGCAAGCATACGTACTGATATGCAGCCTGTCCTTTCTTATCATACATTTTTTTTATTAATAAAAAAAACTACAAAAAAACCTTACTACCCACTAGAATTTCCTCCTGTATTGTGGAGGCAGTCCAAATATATGAATTTCACAAGAACAAACATCCAAACCCAGAATGGTTTTTGTAGGCCATACAAATACTTGTTTCGTGCGGGATTTGAACCAGCAGCCACAACGCCGTAACTCATTGCTAAGCCACTGCGCCACGGAGGCGTCATCAAAAATTACAATAAAGCCAATAATAGCCAATTCAACAACAAATAAAAACTCGCTGTTTAATTTTTTGGCTATCATTGTAATATTAAGAGTGGTAACGTCGATTTCTACATTTCGTAGGCATAGATTATTGACCCTGTAGTCTTTTATGGTGTATTATTAAAACAGTCTATTTCTAAGGGTTGTGGCGGCGCTGTCGTCGCGCCACAAGCGAAACACATCAAGTCTAAATCGCGCTAACAAAGTTCCGTAGTTAAAGCAGCATATATAGAATAGCTCCGAACTACCAATTGGAGCGTTGGCCACTTCCCGGGCAGAACACCTTGTCCAGCGGGAGATCTCCCCTTTTCCTTCCACCCTGCCACAGGGTAAACTACTGAATTTATTTGATAATTTTTTGCGTAGTAATTATTATAAGGGTCATTTATTTTATGGAACCCGACGCCCGTATACAGAAAAAGCAAAGTCTTTCCTTTGGCTATTTGTCGAGTTAGGTGGAAGCGTTTTACTTACATAGATTAACAAGGACAAACATTAAAAGTATTTGCACAAACCAATACTTATTTCGTTCGGGAATCAAACCCGTGGCATTTAGTGCAGCGTAAAATTAAGCTTTGCCGTCTAGGTATTTTCAAACCGACTAGGTATTTTCTAGTAGCTACTTTGATTCAGAATAGAATTGTATTGTCGTGTAATCCCTACGACAATATACACATGTGTTAAGTGTACAATAAACTAAGTAGAGAGAGTAATAGAGTAGTTGCATGTTATTTAATTTTTTTTTGAAAGTTTACTAAAAATTTAAAAAAATATTAACAATTGATTTTTCATGTAGTTTTACAATAAAAAAATGTTTTTTCTAAAATGTAAATTCACACGCCGGTAAAGTCATAATATCGCTTCAGTAACGCCACGCCAAATGATAAAACACTCATGTTTACGTTGTCAAAATTTAAAAAATTTGTCATTGCATAATACAGGTTATACAGGGTATTTTTGGAACGCTCCCGAAAACTAAGACAGGCGACAGCACCAAGGATCATGGGTCATAAATAAATTTGATCCTGATGAAAAAAAAACCATATTTTTACAACGTTTTATTAGCTTTATTCACGCGCCATCATGTTAGTACAGCTAAATGAAACGATAATTTCATAAAAAAAATCATGAAAATACTGAAACATAAAACCAGCAGTGGAAACTGAATTGATATCACCTGACTAATGGAGGTTAATGTACACGCGAACGGTGAAAAAAGAACGCTGGCCTTGAACTTGGGCACTGAGCGATTTATCACATATTGGTACGAAAGGCGCGCGACGGGGGAACAATCCGCCAGTATTACTGTGCCTGCATGCTATTGGTTCCCGCGCTTTGTTCGCTCCAAAAATACAGTCGCATACACAGCTTACTTTGCGACTCGCGACGATGTTTTAAAAAGGAAGGAAAAAAAATATTTATATCTATTGTTTTATGACTAAACTAGTGAACGAAAAAGTGAATGGGGAAAATTGTGCAGTAAAGTTAAAATTGTTGAGGAAGAATACCGAAAAAATTACCATGTGATCGACCTGATGACGGAAGCTCAAGCGAAGATGAAAGTGATGATGAAGTAGCATCCAGTAACACCAACACACTATCAACATCTGGCTTCCATGTGACCCAAGACGTCATAATGGACGGCGTGTCACCCTTAGCTTAAGTTTTTTTGTTACAAACTACTTTATATTTTACGATAGAAATAACAAACAATGTTCAAGTAAACATTATCTATTTTTAATTCCCACCTCTTCCAAAGTTCTAAGTAGCTAGTAAAACACCTATTATGATTCTACAATAAAACAATTAATTACTATAATATTATAAAACAATAGCCCAATACCATGTAGTACTTTAGAACGCGACTGTACCCACACTCACTCCGCTGTCGACCTGTATCTAGCTCGGTATGAAACAATGCTGCGGTCATAAGAAAAAAGGGCGCATCTAACTATTTTCGAATAAATTACCATTCGACTCATGATAAGAAGACGCATCTACTAAATATTTTTAATATTCACTAATATCAATATTTTAGAAATTATCGTCAGAATTTTAGACGTAGCTGTTCATCACAGATGACATTTTATTAGTAGAAAAGACTTATACAAATTCAACATAAAAGAAAAGACTTATTTAACCAGTTGCTACGTCATCTTTAACAATATTTGCATCGATTACTTAAATTAAAATTATTCTTGTCTTATTATTTTATATCTTATTATTAAGAGCTCATATCTTATTATTAAGAGCTGGTGTTTCACATGTGGTCCCATATAAATTTGATCGAGGTCAGACCAATAGTTTTTGAGTTATCCTTAATTATTTATATTAAAGTCGGTTGTAAAAATTTTTAATTTTTAATTATTATCGTAGAAGTCTGGTATGATATCCCCTTTAAAATCATAACTCAAGAGTTGCGGGTTGTTATTTTATGTGTCTCACTACCAATACTTTTCTAATATTTACTAATAATAAAAAAAGTAGTAAATTACTATTAGCGTCCTTTCAACTTCAAATGACCTTTCCAAAATATGTAAAAATATTAAATGAATGGCAGTTTTTTATTTATTACGTTGGAAAGACGCAAAATGGTTATATGCGTCTTTCATTCGATGTTTTTATGTGGCCAGGTGTATTTTTTAAGCTAAAATGAAAAAGAAAATTCGTTTTATTTAAATAAATAAACAAATTTAAAAAAAAAAATAAGTTCGTCCTTAAAATCTTCATGTCTCTACGTATATATTTCAATATAGCTTCAAGATACCTTTTAATATACTTTAGACACGGGGTCTGAAAGAAAAATTCATCAATTTATTTTTTATTTCCATTTTACGTTTTTGTTAGTTACTTCCTTTTTTATTATGACGGCAGAATGCCTAACCCTGTCGCCTCACGCTTGTGACGCAGTAGGTTTCAGCCTTGACGGGGTTCGTTCGTTTTAGTTTTTGAGACAGTTCCGTGTTGATTTTGTACACGCGTGCGCGAGCGACAGTTCAATCGTTTTGTTTAATAAATTTACTTGTGATTACGTGTTGATATTAAAGTTTTTGTTACGTTTTTGGATTCTTTTTTGTTTTAATAATGCCTAACGCGTACGTTTATAGTGGTCAACATGTTAGGTATCCGAACATAGGTACACGAAGTATCCCTAAATAAATTGTTAAGACGTCGGGATGGAACAAGTGTGAAACTAGTGCAGTGCACAAAGTGTTGAAGCGTAACCAATGCGCCCATACAAATTGCACAAAGTGCAAGCTTTAGTTCCCGGCGATCACGACCGCCGACGAGTTTTCTGCCGTTGGTTATTATACCAGCAACAACGTGTGCCTGGTTCCATTGAGCACATTATCTGGACGGATGAGTCGACATTTACCAGAAACGGCCTGTGGAACCGAAGAAATACACACGTGTATTCAGAGGTTAACCCGCACGCTGTTCGACAAACCGGGCACCAAACCCGATGGTCTGTTAACGTATGGGCAGGTTTATTTAAGGATCGCATACTGGGACCAGTGTTTCTGCCAGAGCGACTGAACGGACAGCGATACCTAAACTTTATAAATGAACAGTTGGTTGACATTTTAAACGACCTATCGTTGGCTGAATATCGCCGCACATAGTTCCAACATGATGGTGCCCCTCCACATTTCGTGAGGTTCGTCCGTGAGCGCCTCAATGAGCTATTTGATGATCACTGGATCGGCAGACTAGGACCACACGCTTGCCCACCTCGCTCACCAGATCTGTCTCCGTTAGACTTCTTTTTGTGGGGTATGTGAAAGAAAGGGTTTTTAATCGTGAATGTGATAGTGCTGAAGAAATGCGCCAAAGGATCGTGGATGCTTTCGAGAAACTACGTACGGACTGTGTCGAAGACCACACGATGATGCCCCGCCTGCACCCAAATCTGCCTTGAAATGAATGGAGCTCAATTTGAGCCGCATCTCATAAGACCACGGAGGATTTAGAGCAGTAAGCTGTTTCATAACTATTTTTTTTTTAAATAACTTAGTACTAGACTAATCTGAATAGGTACATAACTGAATACATGAGAATAATAAACATACCTACACGATGAATAAAAACGCATGACTCCAACCTTGGTTACATTTCATTTAAGTATTTCTTCATTAGCGGGGAATCGAACCAGTTATTTGGGTTATTTAACCTGTAAATTCGGATTAAAGTGGCTACGTGGAGATAAGCACAGTGGCAAAATAGTAGGTTAAGTAGATAAGTTAGGTATTTAGACACGTGTTGTAAATTATTATATTGTGGGATGGCCCGCTAGTTGCGGGCCGCGCGAATTTGTGTTCGCGCGTACATTGACCTTTATCTAGCTCAGGTCAGGTGATATCAATTCAGTCATTCCACTGCTGGTTTTATGTTTCAGTATTTTCATTATATTTTTTTATGAAATTATCGTTTCATTTAGCTGTACTAACATAATGGCGCGTGAATAAAGCTAATAAAACCTTGTAAAAAGATGATTTTTTTTTCATCAGGATCGAATTTATTTGTAACCCATGATCAAAGGTATACTTGGTGTTGTCGCCTGTCTTAGTTTTCGGGAGCGTTCCAAAAACACCCTGTATATGTTTTGAACGCGCACCGCCGCGGCCTGCAAAAAATTGTTAAAAAAATTATAAAAGCAAAATAATTTAGTTACAATTTACTGATTTGACGCAATACTGGATGTGACAAGAAAACCAAAAACTGAGATGTAAGAAGAGGCCACAATATTATTATTTTTTAAGAAGTAATTAATGAAAAGTATTGATAGAGATAGCATGTAAAGGTGTGACATAGGTAAAGAAAGCTGTCGGAGGTTGGCGTATCCGCATACAATCTGCCTGTTTAGGCTAAATATGGTCATTTGAGACGGCACCAATTGCCTTCGACTTAGCGAATCGCTCGATGGTGTTAGGTGTCACGCGCGTCGCGGGGAGGGGGCATCGGTATGCAGCTTCCCAGCGTTTGGCGCTCGTGGGTGAAAACAGTAGCTTAAAAGCGGCGGTGCGGTCAATTAGCGTATTTTGGTGACCGCTGCATATATTTCGCGTGACCAGGGTTTTGGGTTATGGTCTAGATTTTTAGTATTTGTGCGCGTTACTTAGCTACTGAATTGTGGTTTCGTGAAGACCGCCTCGGTTTAGTTTGTCTAAGTTGTACGTTCGTGACAAGAGGCTTATTTTGAATTTGAGTGATTAGAGTAATTTCGTTGCAATTGTACCCTCGCGTTAAGAGCCTTTTGTATGTTGACTCTGTAGTTAGTTTGCTTGTCAGCTAGGCTGATATTGAATTCTTATTGCGGCGTAGTATCTAATATCGTACGAAGGAATTTAGTTTGTTGTTTGGGAACGCGACCTTTGCAGGGGCAGCTGGGGGCCGTATCACTGCCTGATCAGGCTGAGAGTTTGGAAAACCTAATAACCAATTAATTTTTAGAATTTTTTCGGATGCGATAAAAAACAGAATGAGTTCTAACTATTGCTATTGAGTGAAGTGAGAATTATGTAAAGAACTGTATACATTGGGCATTATCTTAACCACATACATGGTTAAGATACGCAAGCTTTGTACGTAAAAGTAATGGTACAATTAAATAATAAATTATATGAGCTGAAATGCTACAAATGTAAAGAAACGAATAAAATGATATTGGTCATTGTATTGATCGTGTATGTACGCGAGGCGTGTACGTGAAAGTATTGGTACAATGAAAAAATAAATTATATGAGCTGAAATGCTACAAATGTAAAGAAACGAATAAAATTATATTGGTCATTGTCTTGATCGTGTACGTACGCGAGCCGTGTACGTGAAAGAAAAGACACGAATATGTGATGAATAGAATAGAATAATTTTTATTCAATATAGAATACTTATTCAAAATCATTTAAGCTTTATCACTGGTTCGAAAATAACCTCTATCCTGGGAAAAATCAACAAGAAACCTAGCGGGTCTTTAAAAAAATTACAATATTTTATACAATTAGGTGTTATTATCAATCACGTACTCTTTAGTATTATAATAAGTATAATCCTTACTAAACAATTTCTGGTTTCTGCTTAGTAAATTTTTTGGTAGTTATTACCTCAAGCAACGTCAACACTTCTCAAATTTATTTTTTAAATTAAATTAAATTGATTACATCAATTTATTTTTATATAAACTACAAAGAATGTCAGGAAGTTGTGATATTGTTTCGTTACATGTCTTTCGTTGTAAGAGGTGCTTTTTTCTTGTTTATTGATCCACCAACATTTGTATCGGTCCTTACATGCTATTTAAATAGAAGAACGATAAGAACTAAAATGTATAAATAATTACAGGCGGATACCACATGCAAATAACTATCTTAGCACTGTGTACCTTTAATTCTAGGATAAAAAAGCGGAGAGAATAGAAAATGTTTTATAGAATATTACAAGAGATGGCCTCTTAAAGAGCGACGGAGCTTGTTAGGAGGGTCGAAAAATATATCAATTGTTTCGCTAAATTTGTTAACAATTTTACTCATTATAGCAATTGGAGAAAGTCAAACACTGTTCTAGGATGTGATCTAGTCAATGATGTAATTTTACGAGCATAACGCGGATAACGAAAGGGAACGCACATATGTGTAGCATAATGAGGTCTCCAGATTACAGCACAGTATTCTAATATACTTCTTATCAAATTGTTAAACAAAAGACAAAAACCCAACATCCTAGATGCACGTTTAGTAATCTAGATGCAAGTTTTCAATGTGGGGCACAAAAGTTAATTTTTTTATCGAAAATAACCCCGAGGTCTGTAATTTGGTCTAACTGCTGTATATTATTATCTCCTATGTGATAGCTATAGTAGATAATGTTACTTTTTATCGCATATTGCACACAAAAACATTTACTAATGTTTAAGGCCATAATATGATTTACTTTGCACTATTCTACCAATTAATAGTAATAATAAATACTTTTATTTCTCAAAAATTAATTATACATGTTTTTCAGACGCCCCAGAGAGTAATTCCCATGTTCGTATTGGGGATGCCTCGCTCTTCAACCCATTTTAGAGTTTTTAAGATTTAAAAGTACTTACACAATTAACAAAGAAAATGTTTATTACAAAAAAGAAAGTTAAGCTAAATAAACTATACATACATAACTTGTGTGTGTGTGTGTGTGTGTGTGTGTGTGTGTGTGTGTGTGTGTGTGTGTGTGTGTGTGTGTGTGTGTGTGTGTGTGTGTGTGAGAGAGAGAGAGAGAGAGAGAGAATGTGAGAGTATAGTATGCGTATGTAAGTGCACGTGTGTGTGTGTGTGTGTGTGTGTGTGAGAGAGAGAGAGAGAAAATGTGAGAGTATAGTATGCGTGTGTGTGTGTGAGAGAGAGAGAGAATGTGTGAGTATAGTATGCGTATGTAAGTGCACGTGTGTGTGTGTGTGTGAGAGAGAGAGAGAGAGAGAGAATGTGAGAGTATAGTATGCGTATGTAAGTGCGTGCGTGTGTGTGTGTGTGTGTGAGAGAGAGAGAGAGAATGTGAGAGTATAGTATGCGTATGTAAGAGGACGTGTGTGTGTTTGTGTGTGTGTGTGTGTGTGTGTGTGTGTGTGTGTGAGAGAGAGAATGTGAGAATATAGTATGCGTATGTAAGTGCACGTGTGTGTGTGTGTGTGTGTGTGTGTGTGTCCCTCTGCCAGCCCTACGACTTCAGTCTTGGGATCAGGGTTCGCCATTGTGCAGAGAGGTTGTTTAAGTGTGGGTATGTGTGTGAGCCTGATTAGGTGTATGGAACTTACACAATAATTGTATTTATGAGTTTTTCTGTTTCATTATAACTTAAACCTGATAAGAAATTAGTTAATATCGTTTTACATTCATATAACTTTTCAGGGTATATATTTAGTTTTCGATTTAAAGTATTATATAAGTAAGCGGACCGTGATGTCAGTTGACCAAGAGCAAAGGCAAGTACCTATTGCGCGATATGGTGTAATTTTTTCCATACGTCTCTTATTGACGTTAACTTTACTGGGGTCGAAATGTAGTGTAGTGGTAATGTTTGGTGAAGGTAAAGAAGAAGTTTCAAAATATATAATTTCTTAGCCGATAAGAGTCCACAGATTTTGTAAAGTTCATGTGTTAAATATTTATACGGTTTAAAGTACATAACCTTCAAGTGTGACCTTTGACTTCTCTCTAAGTGAAGAAATTTGGTTTTAAGTGCACCACCCCACACAGGAATACAGTATGTAAGTATGGACTGTGCAAGGGCAACGTCAATTTTGTTTAATAAAGTACTGGACATAACATACCTTAGATTTTTAAAGATCCATATAAGCTTACGAATCCTGCCAATAATCATTTCAAGTTGAGTATATCAGGAGAGCCTTTGATCGACCATAATACTACTAGGTATTTAATGCAGCTAACTTTTTCAGTACTTGGGCATAAACAACGACTGTTATTGAGACTCGCACAGGTATGAACCTTAAGCCGAAACTTAGCATCTGGTTGAGTTCTCTGATCGAGAGAAAAGCACACGTATTTAGTTTTCGTGGCGTTTAAGGTAAATATATTAGTGTTCAGCCAGTTAGCAATAACTGCTAAGCCCTTTTCAGAGACATTTTTCACTATTTCCTAAGAACTACCGGAGAAAACAACCACATTGTCGTCCGCGTATGAGAAGATCTGTCCTCCACAGTTTGTTAAGTTACAGAATTGATTAGTAAATATTAAGAACAGAGTTGGGCCGAGGCCAGATCCTTGCGGGACACCATAGGATATACATTCTTCTTGACTCATACTTGTGCTAATTTTAACCATTTGTTTTCCCTCAAGCAGGTAATTTTTAAAGAGAGCAAGAGCCGTGCTCCTTATTCCAATGCTCTCTAGCTTAAGAACATGTCTGAGGGCAGAGACGTTGTCAAAAGCTATTTTAAGTCGAGAAAGACTAATTGGTAAAAATCATTCTGTAGCTTTACGAATCATTCTTTTCCGCAATCCGCTTCAATTAGTGTTTCCGTAATATGTACCAAATTAGTGCTCGTTGACCTAGACTTAACAAAACCATTTTGGCTAGTGGTTAAGTAAAGATTGATATGTCTCTGGATATAAGGACAAATAATTGACTCAAATAATTTTGTACGTATGTACGGTTTGTAATTTTTTACATAATTCTCACTACTCGTTTTATGAACGGTTTTAGCTATTTTCCATTCTGTAGGAAACTGCTCAGTACAAAGAAAAAAAATAAATATAATTAAAAGTGGATCAACAAGATGTTCAGCACATCTGACTAAAAACACTGGAGGGATTCCATCAGGACCTGCCCCTTTTTTGTGTGTGTTTCTTCTTTGTTGACGATTAACGATTTATTTAGGTTCAAATTTAATGGTCAGGCAATCGGTCAGTCTGAATAAAAGTGTAATATTGGATCGATCGGAAGAACGTTCGTTCGAAGGGCGTGTGTTATCATCTGTCTGTCTGCGAGTAAAGCAAGCTGACGTACGTGAGATGCGAGAGTGCAGCATCAACAAGCTCCTGCAGATGCACGAGCGCCGCGTCCCACAGAGATAGCGACAGCTCCGGCCGCGCAGACTCCTCCTCGGACGCGCTCCACTGTGCCAGCATCTCCGCTGAGGAGGGAAACATTCTGTATATCATCCTAGTTTCTCAAGATAAAGATGACAAACTAGCACACAATCCACTTGATGGTAAGTGAATGATGTGGAGATCAAAATGCAGATGCGTTGTCACCCCTGAGCATAAAGATGGAATGCCTCGTTTCCAGTACAAATGGTATCCGGTTCTCTACACGCAACATTCGAAATTTCATTAAGCTGCTGGTGAGCGTGCTCCTTCCCCGGTCGAGCCGACCCATTCATGCTACAACCATAATATAGCTGCGTAATAATATACCGTCGCCCTGTCGCACAAAGTATTAACAGTACAATTAATTGAATAAAATATCATTTTACAAAATACTATTTTAACCACAATATATTATAGTTCTGTATGAACGCAAAAATATTTTTTGAAGAAAATAATGTTCAAACAGTCACTGTTTAATTAATTACTCACCATCAGCCAAAACAAGAGGCTCGGCCAATAGCCTAAGTACTTTAAAAGCTAGCAGCTTGATGGGAGCGTGATTTGAGTTTTGCAGGGCATCGGCGGCAGCGTGTGAAATTCTCGCCAAAGACAACTTCTCAGCTCGGATTACTGCGGGGATTCTCTCCCACTGTAAATGGGGGACGCTGGATACTAAAGCGCCGAGAACTGCTACGTGTCCGGACGAAAGATCCTTTTCATTAGACTCTGTAAATTAATTCAGTATTTTTTTTTATTGTTAAACTTCTTAGCGTGTGAATCATAACACACACAATTATTGCATTGTTGCTGTAATGTAGAAAACTGCTGTGATGTATGTGTGACGTTATGAAGGGTCTTATGCGCTAAGATTTTGTGTGTTTATAATATGTCAACGTTTATAAGAAATCAATATAACCCACATCCATTTGTGTACTTTCGTGTATAATGTTTAAAATATATTCAAAAATACGTAGATTTTTCCTTCAGTTTTCAATTTTCCTTTTTTAAATTATTTTCCGTATGTTTCTTATTTTAGAAAAAATGTATTTCAGTTTGCTGTAGGTATCGAAGTAAACATTAATTATTATGATCAACTGTTGTAGTATTTCGGTTAGCTAAAATAAAGGAAGTTCCGTATGTTAATAAATACAGTAAGTTTCGGCACTATTTGGCTTTACACATTTAATATATTTCTTTATGTATTTAATATCTGTCTATATACATCTAATATTAAGTAATAATTATTTGTAATGAGTGTGAGTTGCCAATAAATAAATGAATAAACAAACAAGTAACGTACCCATGATAGTGATAATGATGTTGAAGAGGTTTCCGTTGATGTCGGGCGCGAAGATGTCATCCCACTCGTTGGCGAGCGCGAGCACGTGATCCGAAGGCTCGCGCCTCTCGCACTCGCGTCGCACATTCACCGCGAACGTTTGAACTCGCGTCAGTAGAGCCAGCGTGGATCGGCACAGCATCGCCATCTATATCCAAACACTTTTATGTGTACACAGCATCGCTGTCTGTACCCAAAATATACTGCTAGACGAGTTCTGCGGTCTTAATACATTGCGCACAAAGTTACGCTAAATTCACACTAACTCCTATAGTCGACTGCGTGTGGGCGAGAAAACTAGTTCTTTGTTTTGTAAGCCGCGAACCATGTGTTCGACAATCTGACACTGATTTTGTTAAAAGTGACTAAGAAAACGTTACGTGCTTGATATATTAACGAAGTTTTCGATAAATGATAAACGAATTATATGAAAACTAGTTATTTAACGGTGAACAATTACTGAGAAAGCTATAGGAAACTATGGGGGTAGTTGATCAAGGTACAACTGAACAGCATCAGGTCGCTCGCGCAAATAATGCGCGGCTAGCCCTAACTTTATCATGAGGCAGAGGTAGAAGGGACTTCCCCACTCCTACGGCGCTACACCGCTTGATCAACTTCTCCGTGGCAAGAAAACACACATCACAGAACACGTAGTTAGTAAGCACTAGCTTATAAAAATCGTTGTTTCTTAAAACTTAAATGAAGATATCGCAATAATTTTCTTTTAGATAAGGGTCAAATGTCTAAGAAATAAAATTAATAGAATCAGGCGTTACTTTGCGGAAGTCCATTATATTAAAGTTGGCAAAAAAAAAAAAATTACTTTGCGGTCAGCCACCGCAGAGTCTAAATCACCTGAAGATTCCTCGTGTAGAGGCGAAACACGTGTCGTCAGTGGTGTGTCTTTCCTAGTGTAATGGTGTTGGGAGTAGTGGTGCTGGGATTAGTGGTCACGGGGATAGTGTACGCCATTGAGGGAGGGCGGGAGATGCTCTTCAAACTAGGTAAGACACATAATTTTATTTTATGAGCGAATGTACGCGAAGTAATTTTTTTAGCCAACTTTAAGAAATAAAACTTAGACAACCTAATTGAAATTTATCCAATAGTTTTGACGGCTCCGTGGCGCAGTGACTTAGCAATGAGTTGTTGCGCTGGGGCCGCGGGTTCGAATCCCGCACGGAACAAGTATTTGTAGAACTAGTGCAATTATAGCAAATTAAATGACGAAAAGTGCGATGCGATTGGTCATATAGCAGTAGGTTAAAAGAATCTCTATTGTATAGTTTCATTGGTGGCAATACTGAAGGAAATTCCGGTAATGTGATCTCCAAGAGCCGATATGGTGGAATACCCATAAAAAACCTCATTTTAGGACGATGAAAAATAAAAGTTTAAATTACTGCATCTGCTATGGTTGTGCCATAATTTTAAATCAAATTTATCAGAATAATTCTCTACTACGAGTTGACACGATAACTTTATAATTTCACAATAGATTTAATCAAAAGTTGCTAATATTTGATTTGTAAAAAGGAAACAAACTGACCTTCGTGCATCCCCAATTATGAACACTGCAAGCTAGCGAGTTCACCAACGAGCATAACGTAATGGTGATAAAGTCCCAGTGATGTGATGGCAGGTCCCAACCTCGATCAGCGACTATCTCTGTGAGGAAGTCCAACACCGCAGCGTCGCTCACCACTTGAGCCCATGGTGCTGTGGTAATGTCTCTGTAAACAATAACCTCTAACATGTGTATGTTACAGTCATAAAGGTTTCCCGGTCAAAACTACTTTTGACTAACAAAAGTAGCCGAAAGTACTTTTGACTGCAGGGTTCGGACAAAATAGTTTTGACTGAAATTTTTGGATAAATTAGTTTTTCTAGGCGTTTTTTCTTTGATCAACTGGATGAATTATTAGATGTCCATGGCATTGACCGTATCTTAACTTACTGTTGTTGGTATTAATTTATATTAGTGTTTATTGTCAATTGATTTTAAGACAAACTAGTTTGTTCTTCCAAAATCAATTGTTAATAAACGTTTTATAATATATTACACATTTTTTGTACACTCGGTAATAAAATGCACTTTTTCATGCAGGTGAAATAGTGAAAGAACCTGTCTTTCTTTACTCAATGATTGCTTTATTCGCACTGAGTTGACACGTTATGTCAACACATTTGTTTCCGGACAAACAACAGTTATTGAGATACATAGTTTTATATGGACATACGGTTAACCGGCAGCAAGCAAAAAAAAAACAAATATGCACTAAACACACCGCCATTCCAAAAACCACAGTTTTTAACTAAGTGGAATAAAGTTCAACTTTGCATAAAATTTATAATATATACAGTTTTTGAGAATTGAAACGTCGACAGTAAAACCAAGTTTTAGTTTAAATATAAATATATCGGTACAATAACATGCAACACATATATGACGAAAAGAGATGCCATGGTACAAAATTCCTAACAATTTATTACCTATAGTCATTTTACCTACTAATTATGGTTAAATTACTTTTAACCAATATTTTTTTAGACAACATTATTTTTTACCAAACATAAATCAAAAGAACTTTTGACTGTTTTCTTCGTTAAAAACTACTTTTGACTGTAATATAAACATAACATTATTTTCACATAGTTTAAAGATTGTGTACATACTATTTACATATACCCCTGAACGTTATTGATCCAATTTTTGTGTCGCCGAGACAAAAAAGTCTAAACCTAACTAGCTCGAAGGGCCAAAAAATTAAATAAAATGTTTCATCAGTTTATCACCATCACCATCATTGCATCATTACAGCCCATCACAAGCCCACTGCTGAACATGCTGCTTGACGGCTCCGTGGCGCAGTGGCTTAGCAATGAGTTGCTGCGCTGGGGGCCGCTGGTTGGAATTCCGCACGGAACAAGTATTTGTATGGCCTACAAGTAATTGCTCCGGGTCTGGATGTTTGTCCTTGTGCAATTTGTGTTTGTAAACTGCCTCCACGATACAGGAGAAAATCCTAGTGTGGGGGTAGTTTTTTTTTTGAAAAAAAAAGGAAAAAGAAAAAAGGAATAGGCCTCCCCCAAGGAATCCCACAAAGCAAGGTTCTGAGCCACCTGCATGTCTTACCAGGTCGTCACTCCATCTAGTGGGGGGTCGCCCTACACTTCGCCTACCGGTACGAGGCTGCCACTCGAGAATTTTTTTTCTCATCGGTTGTCGATTCTTCGAGCTATATGGACGACTCATTGGTACTTCAGCTTACAAATAAAATCAGTTTATAATAACTATGAAATAATAATAAAATTTTTGTCCACGTAGTTCCTGACAGAGTTATAATTTTTTTTTTATAGGATAGGGTGACAAACGAGCACACAGTCCACCTGATGGTAAGTGGTTACTGTGACCCATAGACATCTACATCTATCCTCAATAAAGACTCAAGATGCAGATGCGTTGTCACCCGTGAGGACTAAGATGGAATGCCTCTTTGCCAGTAAAAAGGGTCTCCAGTTCTCTACACCCACCACACGAAACACAGCAGTGTTAAGCTGCTATTTTACGTTGGTTTTCTGTGAGAGCGTGGTCCTTCCCCGGTCGAGCCGACCCATTCGTGCTACAACTATACTACTAATATAGCTGCAGCATGGCTCTACCACGTAAAAATAGGTAAGGAGATCAAATACCTCTCGTTGCAGCGTACCAACAGTCTATATTACTATAGGATTGAAAAGAGTTGAAGTGTGGAGTCAACGTACACACCTCTCGTAGAGCATGGTGTGCTTGTGGCGGTAGTAGGCGTTGAGGAAGACGTCGGGATTGCGTGTACGGCGGCACTGCGCAGCTTCTCGAAGGAACTCTTCATCCAGCACACCGTGTGCTGCCAGCCAACTGCGAAGCGCTACCAAGTATCCACACTGCTGCCGCACCTCCGCGCTGCTCGACCTCTTCAGGTTCGCCTGGGGGCCGTGTATCATCATTACAACCCTTCACAAGTCCCTGCTGAAAATAGGACTTCCCCAAGGAATGCCACAAAGCACGGTCCTAAGCCGCCTGCAGCCATCGACTACCTGCATGTCTTACCACGTTACTACTCCATCTAGTGGGAGGCGGCCCCTACACTTCGTCTATCGGTACGAAACTGCCACTCGAGAATCTTCCTTCCCCATCGATTTCGGTTCTTCGGGCTATATGACAGGCCCATTGCCACTTCAGCTTACTAATCCGTTGGGCTATGTCCGTCATTCTGGTTCTACGCGGATATCCTCATTTCGAAATTTATTACGCAGAGAAACCCCGAGCATAGCCCTCTCAATAACTTGCTGAGCGACCTTGACCGTCCTCATACGGCCAGCAGTGAAGGACCACGTCTCAGATCCATAAGTAATCACTGGCCTCACGCACTGGTTTTACAATCTCGTTTTCAGGTTTTGAGGTATACCTGACGGTAAGATGTGTCTATTCTCCAAACATTGCCCGACTGGGCAATCGTCGGATTCAACTCGGCCGAGTCGATTGACGATTCAGTCGATTGACCTCTCGTTCGAAGTTGGACTTACCTAGTCGGAGTATTTATTTCAGGTGAACATACTCGTCAACAACTTCGAGCTTAGTGCTCCCAACAACTACGGGCATAGGTGTGACATGAACATTAAACATGATCTTTGTTTTGTCCGTGTTCATCTTAAGACCTATCCGTTGGGAGACACAATTGAGGTCATTGAGCATAGTGCTTAGGTCCTTCAGCGATCCTGCCATAAGAACTATATCGTCGGCAAATAGCAGGTGAGTGATGTACTCGCCATTGACGTTAATACCGTATCCTTTCCAGTCCAGTAGCTTGAAAACGTCTTCCAATGCAGCGGTGAAGAGTTTCGAGGGTATAACGTCACCGTATCTTACACCTATCTGCAGTTGGATAGGTTTCGTACTCTGATTCTGTACTCGGATAGCCATCGTAGTTCTACTGTACAAACACTTCAGCACTTCGATATACCGACAGTCCATTTGACACCGCTGAAGAGACTGTAGCACCGTCCAAATTTCGACGGAATCAAAGGCTGTCTCATAATCCACATACGCAAGACAAAGTGGCAAATTATACTCTTCGGTCTTCCGAACAATTTGCCGAAGGGTATGTATGTGGTCTATGGTGCTAAATCCATTTCGGAAACCGGTTTGTTCGTGAGGCTGGAAGTCGTCAGGTCTGCGCGCGACACGATTCGTAATGACTCTCGAAAACAGCACGTAGACGCGGCTCAGAAGGGAAATCGGTCTTCTTCAAGAGAGCGTTGTCGCCTTTCTTGAAGAACAAGACCACCGCACTTCTGCTCCACGCTTCCGGTGTAATGCCACCGTGGAGGACGGAATTAAAGAGCTTCTGAAGGATTTCAAACTTTCAACTTTCTACCCGCTTTCAGTATCTCCGTTGTCCGCTTGCCGTTTTTAAGGTGCTGGAGAGCCATTCTAATCTCGCTCAGACTGACGTCCGTCATCATCGGTATAGTGTCGGATATGACTTGCTTTTGGATCGTTCCTCACACTTGCGTGTGAGGAACTATCCAAAATCTCAGGTGTCCCAGAAATGACGCTGCCATACTCGGTCTTCAGCTTCGACAGTTGGTTCTTACTGGCAGACACATCTCTAGCAAAGACTTTGGAGCCCTGGTTCCGCTCGATGGCTTCTTCAATACGTGCAGTATTAAAGTTGCGTAAGTCCCGCCGCATGCATTTGGAGATCTGTCTGTTCAGTTGCCTGTATGCTGTCAAATCTACTGAAGACTGCAGCTATGAGATTGAGAGTGTGATCGGAGAGTTTTTTGTGTTCTTCTGCCGCGGGTCTTGCAAAACTTAGCTCCGACCGCATGGACAGTTTCCACGAGCTTGTCTTTCATATCGTCCACTGCATTGTAATCTTCTAGGCATTGAAAACGGTTTCGTAGCTCGAGCTGAAAGGTTTCGGGACTTTGGATTAGAGCACAAGGGGGACGGAGCGTTGACTTCATTAGACGAGACCTCTCCAACTTAACGTTTAGGTTCAGTGTGCCTCTAACCATTCGGTGATCGAATGGTTAGAGGCACACTGAAAACGGTTTGGTCTGGAAGAAAGAGTTCATCATAAAGAGTCCCTCTTTCTCCATGAAGTCGGCCAGCTGCTGGCCCCTTGGGTTCCGTTGCCCTATTCCGAATTTCCCTACTTTCAGCTCACCGCTGTCTCTTGTGCCTAGTTTTGCGTTGAAATCTCCCATTAACACCGTATAGTGAATTTTGGAGGAATGCATGGCTCTAGAGATATCCTCATACATTTCCTCCACCTCCTCATCGGGGTGTGCCGAAGTTGGTGCGTAAACCTGTATGACCTTCAGCGAATACCGTTTGGTGATTCTGAGTATAAGGTACGCAACCCTCGTTAACGCACTCCCAATCTTTACAACGTTGTTAACGAGACTTGTGGACGATAAATCCGACACCTCCTTGGGATAGATGGTCGCTCTTCTGGTGATAGAACAAGTTACCGGATTCAAGGATTACCGTGTCCTTCCCCTCTCTTCGGACCTCGGATAATCCTATGATATTCCAGCGCAACTTGTCTATCTCTTCTTCCAGCTCCAGGATCTTCTCGTCAGTCCTCAGGGTGCGTGCTTTATAAGTTGCCAGGTCGAGTCGTCGTAGGTGGCAAGCGAACCTGCACCGGAGATTCTTAGCACCCTCTGCCCCGCCGTTACCATGGTCGCCACCGTAGCCAGGAATAGCGGGGCCGCCGGGGACTAGGGGCTGTCTCTTTGTTACTCTCATGGGGGGTATATTGCCATAGTTGCCACGCTTGGCGAGCGGGTTGGCAACCGCAGTTTTTTTATTGCTGTTTTGCTATTATCAGAAAGATGCTGCTGCCCATCCGCTGCCTCAGTTTCCCTATGTCGCCTCTTACGACACCCACGGGAAGACATGGGGTAGTGAGTATTCTTTCCCGCCACTACACGGGTGGTAAGTATTGCATAACGCACAATATATAATATATAAGATCTCTTGCGCAGTTACTAACTTCCAAAATTTTTCATAAATTATCAATGTCAAAACGTCCAAAAAAAGACTTCAAACAATATTATGTTTACCATCTGTTATTTGCGCATATAAATAAATAAAAAAAAACTATACTGAGTAAAGCCCTACCTGCATACTATGGAAAATTCCATTGCCAGTAACAATCTGGTCTAACTTTTCCGCGTCGAATTCCAATTCGATGTTTTCTACTTCTGCTGTTTCATTCACCGGTAAAGTAGTCTCTTTTGACTCTTCCTGACATTCATTATTAGGTGTTTGATCTTCCGAATCAAAAACTCTCGGAGTTTCAGCACTTTTAGTTTTGTTGTCATCTGTATCTTCTTCTTTGTGTAAGTTACTAGCATTTAAGCTATCTGCAGTTGTTGATTTATCAATTGTTTCCTCTTCAGTTTCATTACTTTTATCGATTTTAACTTCGTAAAACCGTCTCGCGTATGACCAGTAGTAACCAATAGCTGCAGCTTTTTCCGACAAAAATCCAAGAAGCTTTTGCCTTAGTTCATTCGAAGTTTCATTGATTATTTCTTTAATTATTTCGTCAAGACGTTGTTTCGTTTGTTGGATCACTTCATAGCTAGGCCACTAAAAGAAAAAGATTTTTTATATTAAATAAATCTAAAAATATCAATAAAACATTTTTTGAAGAAAAATGATACGCGCGCACACCGTAACCTAAAAACGATAACTTCAGTTGGTAATTGTCTATCAACTGTCAAGTTTTCGTGAGAACGGATAACTTATATTCAAGGTAGTTATTCAAGTACATATGAATCTATAAAAGATGTTTTATTTTTTTATATTTGTTTTTGTTTTGTTACGTTAAAGAAGTATAACTTCTTACGTGCGTACTTATGTATAAGTACACACACACACGTTTTTTATTTATGCTTAGTTTTGTAACAAACATAGCTTATTAATAACTCTTAAAGTGTTCTTATTTGTCTTTTTTTCTAAATAGTTACCTCCACACTAGGATTTACTCCTGTATGGTTGGGGCAGTTTACATATATAAATTTCATAAAGACAAACTTTCAGACCCGGAACAATTATTTGTAGAATAAAACTATTTTTATGGATTTTATGGCGTTTAATTTTTACTAATTTTAATTTTCGACGTTTCGGTTGTTTTGCAGCACCCATAGTCACGGGGGGGGGGGGGGGGGGACTAAGGTGATTGATGTACCAATGCAAAAGGCAACCAGCAGTACCTTCAGCTTTTTAATTATTGATTATGGTCCGATCTACGCGGAATGAGCTTACTGTGTTGACTGGGTTTAGTTTTTATTTGATTAATAATGTAATCACAAGCAGATGGTAGCACCCAGCTACCTTCTCTATTGAAATTAGGATAATAGCCTCACGAATCATCCTTGGTAGGAATCGGTGTTCCTTTGGGAGGATTTGTTGTCTATCAAATCTTATGTAATGGTTGTGACGATCTTGGATATGTTGACGTACAGCATCTGATCAACTGCTCCCCGAAGCGTCGTAGTAGTGTTCGCGTATATAAGATTTCTTAATCAATTATTTGTAGACCGAACAGATATTAGTTCCGTGCGGGATTCGAACCCGCGGCCCTTAGTGCTGCAACTTATTACTAAGCTCCACTGCGCTACGGAGCCTTCGTATATTTCTTTTTTCCTAATGATAAATCTTTTTCCATGGCTTTTGTTCATTCTTGCAATCAAAAGTTTGAGAAGATATTTAGATTTTTGATAATGGAATTAAAATTTAATAATAGTTTATTTAAAAAAAAAAAGATAATACTTACGAAACCATATCTGTCTTTCAGCGTGTTTAAAACCATATAATCATATAACAATTTGCCAAACTCCTCTTGAAAGTAAACATCTCTCAAAATTGTGTTACACCAAGTCACCTGTGTACACTCTTCCTCTTCGTCTTCGTTTTCGTCTTCTGTGGTTTTTCTCAAGAGAATCGTCCTCAAATAGAACGCTTTAAAAAGACACTTATATGTATAGTACATAAGGTTCTCTTTTTCAAGTTCTGTTACTTCTTTTTTAGATGACTCTTCTACTATTTTCTTTATTATATCGTTATCATCATCGAAGGGGCAATTCAGATTTCCCATTATACAGTCGCATTTTAAAGCGTACATTTCAACTGATTTGGAAGTATCCGTGTTTTGGAAGGTGAACAATTGTTTGGTGAACGAAACTATTTCGCTGCAGTCGCTCGGCACGTCAGCGTAGTCAGACGGAGTTATAACGTAAGGCAACAGAGCAACGATGTTTTCGATTTTCGTTATGTTGAATTTGTCCATGCTGTAAATGTAAATTATAAATAACGTAAATTATGCGAGTATACCTAAGCATGAAGGTTAGTTTAATTTTTTTTAAATAATGTGAAAAGTGAGCTTTGTGGACTACAACAAACTTCAATAGCGTGTTGACCTGACGATTTAGATGGAATGCTTCATAGTCTGTAATCATTTATTTATTTAATATTTATTATAGACCTTAAAATAAGGTACTTAAAGGGCGGACTTAATGCCTTATGACATTAACTGCCAGTCAACTCTGGATAATTTGAGAGACCGTGGCAGATGTAAACAATTCACTTCATAAAATTAATAAGTAATAAGGATATAAGATACAATAAAATGCAAATAGAGTAGTTAGTAAAATATTCATACTTAAATTACGTGTATGATGAAATTATTATAATATATGTACGAAACTTAATTGTGTATGATGTAGACTTTATAAACGATTCTCTTACACCACTACAGAGCAAAAGTAGTGTTTACAGTAGTAAAAAATTGGATTGACACATATTATATGAGAAACTTATGTACATATATATATACACTTACTCGTTAAAAAGATGTTGGTGTACGAGTGAAATTATATCACTTATAAGCGATTGTTTTGCGTCGTCCGGCAAAGAAAAGATTGCGTCTTGCCAAGAAGACCGAACTTCCAGCCACGTGTCCAACGAGAGGCGTTCGTCACCGCGCTGAATAAAACAAATAAAAAAATAATAATTATGAAAACATTTATTATAAAGAGCGAAAATAAAGATTTTTTTAAATTCATTGCTGCAACTTATTTTTACAAAAAAGAAAAAACTTAACAGAATATTAAAAAAAATGGATTGCAGCAACATAAAGGGCTAATGCGACAGTAACAAAGTTACCACAGCGCTGATACTCTGTCGGAGCTACGTAAGTCGACGGGCGAGCAATCGATGGACATAATTTAGTACTGTAGGGTAGGTGGTGAAAATTAAAAGCCAATCGCCGTGTATTATATATATTACCCACTACAGTATCATATCCCTATTGAGATCCTATTGAAGCATTGGTATCGGCTACCTATCTCCTAGCTTATAGTGACGCAATCTAGCTAAGAGGTAATGGCTTTAGGCGCTAGAGTAGACTGCAACGGCTATCGTACTCTGTTGCCTAATACTCGTCCGTACTGGTGACTGCGCCAGTTAACTGGTCAGTACGGTCGCTAACTAAATAGTGACGATATCTTTTTTTTTCTGAAAATGTATGCTGTTGGCTCTGCGGGCTTTACAGCTTCATTGAAGTAGACCCCGGCCCCTGTTTTCGGAGTGAGGCTCCTCTAGCTAGGGGGGCTTATATGGGGTCCGCCGGTTTGTTCCTCTTGTTGGCACGTAGTGGTAGCGTTCCGAGTGAATCAGATGGTACACGGCGTTCGGTGTCGAATACATTCCCACCTGTGCGGGTAGGAAAGTACTGGACGCCGAACGCCGTGAAATGCTTGTTGCAGTACCTATTTTATAATTTATAATCACTAAGTACTTAAGAATAATCACCAATTACCTAATTAGTAGCATTAAACAACATGATTATAATTATGTAACGTTTTAATAGGTTTATTATAAAAAAATTCATCGACCTTGGTTAAAAGTTCTTATGTTCTAGTATAGATGACGCATAATCATGTATTTGTCAATAGCATCAAGCATAGACCTTCCCAAGAAATGCCACAAAACACGGTCTCGAGTCACTCGCATCCATTTAAATCATCGTCTCATCAAGTAGTCACTCCATCTAGTGGGGGACCACCCTACACGTAACTTGATGTAAAATACTAAAAAAACGACGACGGGAGCAGCGATTATAGTGCGAAATGTTTAGAGTTTAAAAAAGGAAGGAAGAAAAAATCTAAACAGAATTAAATATATGCTACTTTAAGTTAAAATTTCGATCGAGTTTACGACAAACGGTAAACTCTCCTACTTCAAGTGAGGATTATAATATTTAGTCTTAACTAGTTTACGGGTTGATGAATAGAATATAATTCAATAGAAAAATTATGAAGCAATGGAACAATGACAGCGTATTCACAGGCATATAACAATTGAAGTGAGAGTGGTGAGTGAATCAGACGGCGGTTGGCACGGCGAGTTGCAGCTGCAAGTGGTGAGTTGAGAGTGAAGAGTGAGCTGCAAGTGGTGAGTGAGCTGATTAATCAGCATGGTGAGATGCAGTAGTGAGTGGTGTATGGATTAACTGGACTGAACGGTACAGTAAGTTGGCTGCAAGTGGTGAGTGCTTTGCAAGTGGTGAGTAGGGAGTGATGAGTGAGCTAAAATATGAACAGCAAGTGGTAGATAGTGAATGGTAAGTGAGTTATAAGTGGTAAGTTGAGAGTTGCATGTGTGAGTGGGAGTGACCCACAAATCAGCTTACAGACCAGCACAGAGAGATGTAGCTGCAAGTGGATAGTGATCAGTATGTGATAGGTAGCGGTATGCAAGTGACGATTAGTGAGTGGCAATTGGTTGGTAGTGAGATGTGAGTGATCTGTAAGTAGGGAGTGAGTTACGAGTAGTGAGTTAGAATGGTGAGTAGCGAGTGGTGTGAGTAGTGAGTAAGTAGTGATCGGTGAGTGAGTATTGAGCGGTGAGTGAGTATTGAGCGTTGAGTGAGTAGTGAGCGGTTAGTGAGTAGTGTGCGGTGAGAAGTAAGCGGTGATTGAATAGTGATGAGAGAGTAAGTAGTGAGCGGAGAGTGGGTTGTAAGAGTGAATAGCGAGCGGTGAGCGGTGTGCGCGGTGCGAGTAGCGAGCGAGCGCACGGACCGGCAGGGCGAGCTGCAGCGCGAGCAGCGCGCGCGCGAGCGGCGCTGCGGCGCGGCGGCGCGCGGCCCCCAGCGCGCCGGCCAGCTGCGCCGCCGTGCGCACGCGCCTCTCCACCTCGCTGTCGCTCCCGTCGCACACCGCTTCACATAACTGCTCCACGATCTTCGACATCGTGTCTTCGCTTATTACACTTTCTGTAATGGTTAATGTACTCAATACACTATATCTATGTATATATATATACCCTGTAATTCCGATAAATGCGTTATCAGAATCATTATTAAACGTTAATTAGAATAGATGTAGGTGTCTGTGGGCCGCAGCAGCCACTTGCCATCGGGTGGGCTGTGTGCTCGTTTGTCACCCTTATCCTATAAAAAAAAAAAAAAAAACGTATACATATTACTTCATTAGTCGAGAAGTAAAAGTATTACAAAGACCCCATTTACCGATTTAGAGGTAATTAAGATAAAACCAAAAATTAAAAGCAACCTAAAATTTATAAAGTGAAAACTTCTTTAGTATCGTTGTGATTTGAAACTGGATGAAACGAAAAAGCGACACTAAAAAGAGACAACCGTATACATTTATAAGATTTAGCCTGCGAGAGAATGAATTAGAATACAGTGTAGTAAGCGACAGTAGTGGTAAGGTACGGATCGCGAACTCAAAAAGTTGTACAATAGAATCCGCCATTTTTTATTTTTAAACTTACCAATTGTGGTTAAAGGAAATTTTAGTGATATTTATAGCATTGGTAATATTTTTGTCAAATAGTGTTTCCTATTGTTTCAGTCTCCTCTTTGTACAGAGCTTTAAAAATGGTTAATATAAATTTTAACTGTTTAAATAAACAATTAAAAAAATTAACAAATTTATTAAATAAACGAAATTGACCATATTGAATTAATATTATCTTAATATACCAATCCACAGCTTCATTAATTCATGCCATCTAGCGTCTATTTCACGTACCATCTTGAAAATCAATCAAAATTTTGTTCGATAAAAAGACTTTACCTATAAAATGAAATAGATGGCGCTAATACAAAGCAATTTCACTTAAAAAAACATTCTTATGATTTATTACACCAAAGATTGCAACATTTATTTGCTATAAAATTAAACTTTTCATATTTTAAACCGCACTTGCGATTGAAAATGATCGTATTAAATAAATCATTTGCCGTGAAATATACGTTTGGATACTAACAGTATCCAAACGTGTAGAATTAACTTTTTTTTAGAAATTTTTTTTAGAATTAAACTAGATAACTGAATTTTCAGTAACCAAGTAAGCATTGTATAAACTCGGTATATTTCAAATTTCATTAAATTTGAACCAGTAGTTTAGGAATTATAACTAGTCAGTTTCTTAATTTTGTCACTCACTGACTGACCGATCATCAAAACTCTAAGGCACTTCTAGCAGGCATAGAAACGTCAAATTTGGAATACAATTATTGTTTAGTATATAAATTAAGGAAAAACTAAAATATTTTGCAATTTCGGTCCAGTTTTCGAGATACACTAACTGCATAAATAACTTTGTAATCCTATATGAATATATAGTGTTACAAAATTATATTTGCAGTGAATGAATCAGTGTACCTATATAATATGTATAATATAATAGAATAATAGGTGTAGATAGGTACTATATATATACTTGTTACGGCCCGCAGCTGCTCCTGCAAAGGTTCAATATCCGGGACCCATGAGCGGAAGATTCAACGAGTAGCCGCAGGTTCGAGCCCGAGTGGCTATATGGAAGAATATCCTATAACACTAAGCTATATGGGAGAATGCTAGAAACTCATATTACGTACCAGTATCAGAAGCTAACTTCGCACCAAGGCTCGGTCAGGCCGTGAGTGGGTGTAAGGTGAATGGCAAGTAGTGTTCAGTGATGTGTAAATGTCTGAGACCTTGACCACCTTAGGCGGCCGAGTTCCAGGATGCCCCACAATGCTGCATCGCTCCAGCAGGCTCCACCGCTGGACCATTTCTTTCTTCATTGTCACCATTTCAGTCTATCATCTTCATTGTACATTTAACTAAATTAAACTCGCCTAATTCCACATTCATCGTAGAATCGAACACGTGATACCCGACACAGTAAGGACAGTAGTTCCAATTCGACATTCAATGTCCCGGATTCACTTATCACAAAATTAGAAATAGGGAATTAAAGCGATCTCTTAATGAGTAATACGATTCAGCGTTAAACACAACTAAGTTCCTTCATTCGACACCAAAACACCACGTCGCGAAAATATTTAAAATACGCCTCGTTGACACGTAAACTAACAAGCTAACCAACACACAAAAAATGCCACTTAAAGCGACGGCACAATTATAATGATTTCCTGACGATCAACCGGGAGAAGCTCTCGAACAAGGAATGCGCGGTTCGAATCCTACACCGTATATTTACTCGACGCGCGCGTGCACAATTCCGCTTCCCCGAATAAGTTAAATATTGCAAAATTCACATATCTACGTAACGAAGTAACACGCACTTAATCTATCTGGACCCGACAACGGTCGCGTGAACTTCGGCCGCAATAAACGAGCTACGTGGGTTCCCCGCTTCGCGGCCAGTGGGCAACTCCCCCATCATCGCCCAGGCGTCGAGCCACTGCAAGCCGCACACGGCCGCCCCACCTAGGCGCTTATCTCACCTACATACCATCGGGTGAGGCGCCAGCTCGAACGCAATTGGGTGGCGTTCAAACATAACCAAATTTGGGCATAAACAATACTATATAACTATCTACAAAAAGAAATGAGATGCCATCAAAAACATAACTTGTAAAAAAACCAAGTCTCGCAACTCAGTTCTACCGTAAAAAGCTGTGACATCCATGTAATACCAAGTCGGTTAATTTATTCAGTCCCTACTTAAGGGTCCTTCTGTCTTAAGTTATTAGGTAATTAGCTAACTTAACATCTTATAGTGCCCATATCAATATTATAAAATCTTTTATGTTTTAAACAATTAAATTGACTTGGCAATCGCACTGAGCAATCTAATTTAATATAATATGTATTACTTGAGAGATACAGACACATAGATAGTGTTTACGGTAGAACAGAGTTGCGAGACTTGGTTTTTTTACAGGTTATGTTTTTGATGGCATTATTTTAACTGATTATCATTCATAAATAGGTATCGCCTACTATTTTATTAGCACGCACACGTAAGGGAGTATTGAATTCGAAAGCAGTCTGCCAGTTCGGCGCTCGCGCTCAGTTACAGATTTAGCGCATCTGCCTGCCCTTTCTTATTACGCTGCTGGGAGACTTTGCTAGACCACTCCGCCAGATGGAAGTGCTAGTGTTTTTCGAGCGTAACTACCGCGCTAGCACAAATTATGCAGCTCGAGTTCAGAGTTAGCCAGTATGTGTGGAAACTACTCAATTCTTGTGGATATAACCCATTACATTACCAACGTCTGCAGTGCAAGCACTGAATAATAACGACGGTCCACCTAGAAAACATTTTTGTGAATGGTTTGTGTTATTTTAAGTGATTGCATATTTAAGTTGTAAGTAGTTCGTTGTTGTTAATACATAGTTAATCGTTTTAAATTGTTAATAGTTGTAAATACTTGCTATCAATTTTTAAATACGCCATAATCAAGACAATTGTCGGTTACGTCGTTGAAATATTTTTATTTTTATTTGATTTATTACGGTCCATTTTATAATACGGTTCTAAGCCAGTTTATAGTATGAAGGGAAATTTTAAATTATAATTTGCGTCGCGTAGTTATCAACTTAGTAGCGAGCGTATCTTTAAAGAAGTAAATAGCAGGCAAAAGCTCCGTGCGTTGACTCGTACACACACGAGCGCACGTATGTAGTAGTTGTTGCTCATAAATCACATTCAATTTCGGATATTTTCGAATAAATGTAGAAACCTTATCTACGGGTATTTTTAAAAAACTGCAACAAGTGTATTTTTTATATGACAAGGGTGACAAGCGAGCACACAGTCCACCTGTTGGTAAGTAGTTGCTGTGGCCCATAGACATCTACATCTATCCTCGTTTGCGAATAAAATGCAGATGCGTTGTCAACCGTGAGGACTAAGATGGAATGCCTCTTTTCCAGTAGAAATGATCTCCGGTTCTCTACATTCACCAAACGAAATACATCAGCATCAAGCTTCAAGCACTTGTGCTACAACCATAATATAGCTGCAGCATGGCTCTACCACGTATAAAAGACTTAATTATATTATAAATATACATACATATTGTCATATCACCCGTTTGCAGCTGGCTAAAGGATTTACGAAGAATTAAGCGTAATTAGTGCGCTACCTATTAAGGCCGCAGAGCCTGTGTAGTAGTGTACATAGCAGTCTTTGATGGAAAGAACGCTTTAAGCAATATAGTACACGTTCATTGTAAGTATGTAACCGGGCGTGTAGGTATATAAGCGTGCGTGTTTGTGTTTAACCTTCACAGTACTGCAGCAGTAGCGCATGTGAATACGTGTGTAAGTATGTAACATAATATAAATAATGTGTGTGTGCGTGTGTGTGTGTGTGTGTGTGTGTGTGTGTGTGTGTGTGTGTGTGTGTGTGTGTGTGTGTGTATGTGTGTGCGCGTGTGTACGTGCGTGTGCACCGGCGCGCCCAGCGCTCCACTCCTCCCGCCGCAGTGCGTGCGTGCGTGTGTGTGTGCGTGTGTGTGCGCAGGTACCTGCGCGGTGCGGGTGCGCGACACACTGCAGCAGTAGTGCATGCGCCCGCGGGTCGCCGGTGCGCAGCGCGCGCGCACACACGCGCAGCAGCACGCGCTGCGCCGACGCGCCGCGCGCCCAGCGCTCCACCCCTCCCGCCGCGCCGCGCCCGCAGTGCGGGTGCGACACGCTCAGCGCTAGGCACCACTCTGCTGCCTCCTCGCACAGCTGCAAGGAACACACCACTTCAAATACACTTGCACGCATGAAAGAAACTGCATTCCATGTGCGGCCGAACCTGCTCCTTGTAAGTTGCAGGCGGTGTGCCGGCATGAAATCCTGTTCCGCTCTGCTGAACACGCCAAGCCTTTTAGAGGCCAATTTGGCCTTCTCTTCCAAGTGACGACGAAACTGCAAGTCACTCGATATGTCGACGCCGAGTGTTATGGCCTACGGCTGCTCCCACAAAGTTAAATCCTCCGGGGCCAATCAGCGGAGTTTCAACGAACAGACGTAGGTCGGGCCTCAATATGGCCGCGTGGAATTTCCTATCACAATAAACTATATGGGAGAAAGCTAGAAACACGTAGTACTTACCATTATCCGAAGCTAACTTCGCACCAAGGCTTGGGCAGGCCGGGAGTGTGTGTAATAGTGGATGGCGAGTAGTGTACAGTGAGGTGTAAATGTCTGCGACCTGAGCAAGCTTAGGCGACCAGCTGCGGCCGAGTTCCAGGCCGCCCCAAAATGCTGCATCGCTCCAGCAGGCTTCAGCGCCGGACCACTTCTTTCTTCACTGTCACTACTCAGTCTCTTAGCTTCATTGTACATTTAACTAACTTCAATTCGCCTAATTCCACACTCATCGCAGAATCGAACACGTGATATCCGACACGGCAAGGACAGTAGCACAAAATTCGACATTGAATGTCCCGGATTCCCTTATCACAAATTATAAATTCGGCACCAGAATAACACGTCGCACCAGAGTCAAAATACGCCTTGTTGATACGCAAATTAATCTGACTAGGCAACCCAAACACAAAAGGCACTAACGCGACGATTCAATTATAACGATATCTTCATCTAGCTATCTAGATCCACGACGGCCCTCGTGGCCGGCGGGGCACCGACCCCTCGACCACGCGTCGAGCGATAGACTGCCCACGCGTCGAGCGACTCGGCGTTTTTCTCACCTACATACCAAATCAGGTGAGGCGCTAGCTCGAACGCCATTGGAGGGCGTGTAAATTACCTTTTTTGGCCTAAACACCGAGGATTGCGATACTAACTAAGGCCACAAGGGGAGTGCTGAAACTGAGGAGATACTACGAAGGGATTCTTTTTAGCGGTAAATGCGCAAACTTGTGTCTTCTGGAGATTGAAGAGGACTAGATTTAGTCGCCCCCAGTCCGAGACTTTGTTCAACAAAGTCTCGATTTGCAAGTTTGTCCCGATACTCTGCGAGAAATATTGACACGACCGGTGTATAAAGCATCACCAGTGCTGTCATCCCCATAGCAATTAATGTTACTGGTTTGCAACATGTCATTGATATGCAGAAGAAACAGCGTTGGCGATAGCACGCAGCCTTGTGGAACACCAGCGTTAATGGGCTTGTAATCGGAGCATGCACCGTCTACTACGACCTTTATGCGCTGATTTGCAAGAAAATTGGTGATCCAATTGCAAAATTTCTCGGGAAGCCCATAGGAAGGAAGCTTCGTAAGAAGCGCTTTGTACCAAACCCGATCGAAGGCCATAACGCTATGTCCGAGCTAACGGCCAACACCTCCACGTTGGACTTTACTGCTTCCGCCCATTTATGAATTAGATAACCCAGAAGATCACCAGCCGAGCGACCGCGACGGAAACCGTACTGACGGTCACCAATCAGCTGGTGATCCTCAAGATACCGCATAAGCTGGCTATTAATGATGGACTCCATTAGTTTAGAGAACAAAGATGTGATGGCGATATGCATATAGTTGGAAGGATCAGAGCGGTTACCTGTTTTAGGGATCGGGTGCAAGAAAGCTGTCTTCCATGATTTTGGAACTACGCCTACGGAGTAGGAGTACCGGAAAAGACGCGTTAAAACCGGTGCCAACTCTGAAGCACACGTCTTCAGCACAATAGAAGGGACGCCATCAGGCCCACTCGACTTGTTGACATCCAGGGAGAGGAGTGCTCTGCGCACCGAGCGTTGGGTAAACAGCACATCCTGCATGGAGCACTCACACCCCGGGATGGTCGGCAGTGTGTTCCCCCTGTCATCAAGAGTCGAGTTGGACGCAAAGAGAGAGCCCAGCAGATCGGCTTTGTCAGTGCAGAGATGGGAGTGATGGCTGACAGAATTTCCCTTGTACAGCCTTGGTGAGACTAGAATGTACGTGTTCCCGAAGGAAGACGAACTAGTTTCTCGCCAATTCTACCGATGTGCTCTTACTTTGCCTTGACAATGACACTTTTGAAGGATCTTCAGGCGGAATTATGCTTCTATTTAACAGCGCTGGTATTTGCATCCCGAGACGTTGATACGTGAGCCCTGGCCTGGTAGCATTCTTGCTTATGGCGTAATGCAATTTTGCAGGAGCGACCAAACCAAAGTTTTGCCTCCGATAGGTACCACAGATGATAGAATAAATAGTTTCATTCCCTGTAGCACCACATCAGTAACAACGTTGGGATCATACGGCGAGAAGCAAACCCACCTCCAAGGGTAGGATGCAAAAAAAGATCGCATCCCGTCCCAATCGGCTGACCTATAATGTCAAACACGGCAGCAACCTGCGGAACGCAAGCACGATGGAAGCGTGAGTGGCACCGTACTCCGGATCAGATAAAGGTCCGAGGAGCCAAAAGGAGCATCGACGGAGACCTGATATCCGTCCGGATGAGAGGTCAGCAAAAGGTCCAACAGGGAAGGTACATGATCTTCCACATCTGAGATCCGCGTAGACGAGGTAACCAGTCATGTCAGACCATATGCCAAAGCAAAGTAATAAACAGATCTACCCGCATTATCGGTTAAACGAGAACCAATCCATTCAGCGTGGTGGGCGTTAAAATCACCAAGCATCACAATCTCTGCGGATGGGACCTGTTGTAGCACGGAGTTTGCAGCCATTTGGACGCGGTCGATGAGTCGGTCTGTGTCGGCATTGCCGCTATGGGACCTATAGAGGCACCCGTAGACGCGGGGATGGTCGTCGCTATCTACGCGCAGCCATAATATGGACAGGTCCATACCTTCAAGGCTGCCGAGACGTCGAAAACAGATGTCCTCTCTGATGTACAAGCAAACTCCAGCCCGGTATACAAAGGTAGTGTTCTAATCTGTACCCAGGGTAGGAGAGATATGAAGTATCAGCCAGAGAGGACACCTGTGTCTCGGTTAGAAAAAGCAAGGCCGGCTTCACCGTCTCCAGATGGTAGTGGCCGGCATTAAGGTTTGAATGAAGTCCCCTGATGTTGCAGAAATTCACGGATAGCGTGACAGGGGGCGCCTTTGACGTATCCGTTTGCCCCGAACAGGTTTAGTCTCGAGCGAAATCCCCCCCCCCCCCCCCCCCAGAATACGCGGGGCACTCTGAGTACCCACGCTCAGGAAGAGTAGGGTAGCTTGAGCGTGGATGCTCAGCGAGGGATTCTCCGTCCGAGGGAATCACCAGACGAAATGCAGAAGCAGAGCTTCTACTTCACGCTGTTCTTCTGTGAGGTCGTGGTCGTGGTCGTACCACGACCTCGACCGTGTCGTCAAACGCCCCTAAAACGTTACTTCCACACTAGAATTTTCTCCTATATCGTAGAGGCAGTTTACACACATAAATTACACAAGGACAAACATCCAGCCGCGGAAAAATTATTTGTAAGCTAAACAAATAAATGTTCCGCACGCCTGCGCCACGGAATCCTCAACTCAATCTCAAACCGGAAAGCTTCTAAAATTATACTAAAAAATTTCTACAGTTTGTGTAAAAAAAAACGACGGCGACCTACGAATACAATGCATTTACGTCAGAACACTCACTGAACCAAATTACTTAGCTTTAATATCGCAATAGCTAATAAGACAGTTCATGATCGGTCGGATACTCCCGTGTTTATTTTTACCATTTTCATCAATTAATTCATTGAACTTACACCCAAAAATTTACATTACTAATATTCCCTATATTTTAATTCTTAATTAAGGATAGATGTATATGTCTATGGACTACAGCATTCACTTACCATGAGATAGACTTATTCTATAAAAAAATATTTAATAATATTAAGCTTAAAATACTTATGTTAGGAATAATTTACGACAGTAGTTGAATGATGGATTCGAACCCACGATCTTCTGTTTGCGGTCCGCACCCTACCATTACGATTACTGTGGCCTATGCTCTCTACAGAATCAGTATCACCTATTATAAAACCTGAAAATTATATGCAGGCCTAAAAAACTAATCTCTCAGTAGTCAGCACAAAACCCAGCCAATTCACTGTATCCATCAACATCGAGTAACTAGTCACATGCTTTACTAGGTGGGAACAAGACCTAGCGACGGAGTAAAATTCCTCTCTATGGCTCTCTTGAAGCATAATCTGCCTTCTAGTACAAGAGTAAATCTGTTAACAATGGTTTTTTTCCGTAAAATTAGTTTTACTTCACGGTTCTTTTTCTAATTTAATGAAGCACAGTAAAATGATTCGCCTTTTTTAATTACCAAAAAAGGTGATCACACTAATTTTCGACCTACTACCAGTAAGTTTCTGAAAAATAATTTATAATCAACTTTTACCTTGTTTCAACAGCTAATTTATCACTGACGCAGGCATTGCACTTAATTTTTGCAATCTATACAAAGCGTTCGATGGCGTTAATCATGATTCATAACACGTTGGTGAACAAATTAAGGCATCAATGTGTCTTAAAAATCTCTGAACGTTATGTAATAATACTTGTCTGACTGGTTTCAAGAAGAAGTTATAAATGGAACTCAGTCTTTTGGAGCACCCATAATTATATAACAGCGTGCCTCAAGGATCAATATTAGGACCATTACTCTTTTAAATTTTTTAATTTTCTCTATCTTTCTTTTTTGATCTTTAATTTTTGTAATGTTTGCTGATGATACCTCACTAGTGTTTCAATTGACAAGGGTTAACGTGCATTTGACTATTTTAATGCTGATGATAAACCTTGTCAAGAAGACATGGTTCCGCTGTGTATGCAGTTTAAAATTATGAAGCTGTTAACTGATGGGGATAAAGTAAGACTGGTTTATTTCAGCTATTTCCATAGTGTTATGTGTTAATAAAAATGAAATAAATATTTATATTAACTAGGCATCATTTTTATAGTTTGTCTTTTTTTTAAATTAGTTTAAATTAAGCCTAATAACAAATGCTTACCTGTTCAAAGGAATCAAAAACGCAGTCCTGTTCCTCTTCACTTAAATATTTCACCAAGAGAAATACAACGTCAACGAGCGACTTGCAGCGTATTGAATCGTCTAGCAACCATGTTCTTAGAGTTCCATCGTAAAATCCATATATAGAATCGGTGTCAAAATGCCTCGCCAGTGCAAGATACAGATTGTTACTATCAAACTCTATCAACAGAGTTAAAATTGAAGTCAACACGGTATTACATACTTTGTTTTTATGTGCAAACTCAAAGTAATGAGAACACGTGTTCTCTACTATTTCATTTAGGTTATGTTTGTATCTTTCAGTGGTAGGTCCGTCGCAATCTACCTTCGCTACTGCTATAATATCAGGTTTGATTTCGGCGTCACCTTCAAATTTTATGCTATGCTGCTTTTTCGATTCCTGTGCGAACGCTGTCTTCAGATTTTGCAGCAGTAAAATATGGCTATCCATGACGCGGTTTATTTCGTCGTCATTGGTTGAAAGTTTGTCGATTTGCGTCGATATCGTCGACCCAATGTTTTGCCAACAGTTCCTCAGTAGTTGATCGAATTTCTCGTTGTTCTCTTCCTGCGAACGTTTGAGCCAAAATTTGAAAAGCGAGGTCATGTTCGATGCCGAATGTTTGATCAAATTATTTCTGGCTTGGTTTTCTTGTGTCGACAGAACTTTTTCTAGCCATTTCCTGTGCACACACGTGGTGATTTCCAACACAAAATCGTATTGTTGTATGGATATATAGCGTACACAGTCGGCCAGATTAGTGATACACGCCTGACGTTCACTTTTCGAACTTAATACATTTTTCTTTTCTAACCTGCAGATTAAAATATAAAATTATGCTCAAAGAAGTCCATTTGAATATTTTCAAGTTTAAAATCTATTTATAGTGAACAGGTGGACAAAACAAAAAGGTAAATCACCAATAATGTTTAAAATTAGGTTTCATTAACACTATAAAATAAGAAACGTATTAACTTATTTGTTTTCTTTTTCTTCATCGTATTCAGCACGAAAAAGTCCACTGTGGACATGGTCTTCTCCTACTGAGGGAGGATTTTTCTTAATCGCATAGCTTCGCTAGTATGGTTATTTTATGTCGTTGGAAGATCTACGAAACGGTTATCGGAAATTAATGCGCGGTTTTCCATTCACCAGCACGGCAACGACACGGATGCCGGGGTAACAAAAATGTATAAAATGTATTAAGCCGGTGCCAGCACAGTGATGACTCACACCTGTGCTGTCGCCGGAGGCGGGACACCAAGCTTCCCACTCCGTGCTGGTCGGCAAAACTGCATGTGTATTGTGAAGTAGAAGGGACGCGTTGAGATTGAGACTCGAAATTGACTTGTGAAATTATGAAATGTCTCCTCGTTTATGCGGAAGTAGTTGAAAAATTTTTTCGAGTCCATTTTCAAATTTTAAAATAGGGTATAATATGTAATATGTTCGATTCATGTATTTTACTTTTAAGATTGGATGAATCCAAACTTTGAATTCACTGCGTTGATTATATTTTCGTCTTAAATGTAAGAGATAAAACATATAAATACGACTTGACGAGACCATTTTTACGTGTTGTAGAACTGAAGTCTGTGTTAATACTGCCCAAAAACTGAGCGTAGACCGGTACCGGCACCGGTGCGGTGGAAAAAGGAAACACTGGTAAATGGAAAACCGCCCAAAAGATCTTTCTCTTAGATAGATATTTATCTTCTCACTGCCGCTTTTTTTAAGATAACCACGGGAAGAAATGGGATGATGGATTCCCTTACATACAGCAATACCTTACTTACACACAGCAAAACATTTTTGTATAAAAGTTTATTACATAAGATTGCTTCTTTTACTTTCTATTAGAACTTTTAAATTTATTAAACCGAGTGTTTAAACTTCCCTAAATGGTTCTAGAAATATATAACATATATTTTTTATACAATATGGATTATAAGTAATTTTTATGTTTAACCTATCGCTGGGTCGTAGAATACTTCAGTCCTGGGAAGAACCAGAAAGAAATACAGTAGAATTTTAAAAAAGAACAGTTTACAAAATCATGTATTATTTTTTTATACGATAATGGTGTCAAACGAGCACACAGTCCACCTGATGGTAAGTGGTTGCTGCGGCCCATAGACATCTACATCTATCCTCTATTACGAATCAAAATGCAGATGCGTTGTCACCCGAGAGGACTAAGATGAATCTCATTCTCATGAGTAATTACCAACCATGAATTTCTTTATATTATAATAACTCTTTATATACAAAAAAAAAATTGTATATTAAGAGAAGAATTACTGACTTTGTGGAGTTACGTAACTGGTACTGCTAGCTTTTGTCTGTTCCAAGTACTTACAGAATATACAGCACTTTTTTTTTAAACTACTTTTATTTTTGTGTACATACAATTTTACATTATCGTAAATTTATTGAGGTGCAACAGTTAATACTTTAATTTTCTTAAATTCATATTGAAAAGCAAAACGTGCATAGTTCAGTAACAACCTATATACGTCCCACTGGGCGTTCACAGCTTCTTCTAATTCTTGAGTGTTTTGATGCAAGGAAGTGTCGTCCACTACCCCAAAGAATATTGAGGGCCTTTACACGTCCTCAATTTTTTTTAATTTCTTAGTAATCAAATTTCCTTACAGTATATTCTTTAACCGCCGAACAGGTGGTAAATCAGCATTTTAAAACTTTAGTTATTTTATTTAATAATTGGGTAGTTGGGTAATTAGAAATATGTCAATCGTGAATGATTCGCTCATTTGACCCGGGTCGTATCAAATAACTGATGATTGCAATTACATTTTTAGACATTCCGGATTAATCAATTGACAGGACCTACGACCAAAGGGTATACTAATGACTGAGTCTCACAGATCACAGAGTACTGAAACTCAAAATGATCCATTTAAATGATCGAATAACCCGGTTCATAAGACGAATCACAATACACAATGACACGTGTCTATGGGTAATAGTCTACGGGTAGTTGGGTATTTTGAATAGTATTCAAGACACAAAGAACTTAGTCGATCTTCTATATTCAGATCGTCAATATAATATATGATTAGAGATGCACTCACTCTCTTTTAGCTAAAAGATGATTGAAAAAGACATATATATATATATATATATATATATATATATATATATATATATATATATATATATATATATATAGCTAATACTTAATTTAAGTAAGCGACAGTCAACGACTACAAGTAAAGCCTAAAATATTTGTAAGTATTTAAAATATATAAGAAAGATAATTTTTAAAATAAAAACTATGACGTCATTAAATTATAAACCGATATAAGTCCGACAAAAAATATTTTTATAAAAAGTATATCAATTGACTAATGTCATAAATACATACTTGAATAGTAGATAAATACAAAAGAAAATACTAGAAACTAATAAAAGTTCCATAATTCCTACGTATCATCATCATCATAATCATCATTACAGCCCATCGCAAGTCCACTGCTGAACACAGGCCTCCCCCCAAGGAATGCCACAAAGCACGGTCTTGAGCCACCTGCATCCATTGACTTCCTGCATGTCTTACCAGGTCGTCACTCCATCTAGTGGGGGGACGCCCTACACTTCGTCCGCCGGTACGAGGCCGCCACTCGAGGACCTTATTTCCCCATCGGTTGTCGGTTCGTCGAGCTATATGGCCGGCCCATTGCCACTTCAGCTTACTAATCCATATATAATAACAATATAGCACACACCAGTGCAATTATATATTAGTTATAGAAGAGAATAATTACAAACTCACCCTAGGAACATCGAATTAAAAAAGGCCGTGTAAAAATCTTTAGTAAGCACTTCTTGCGGCAGGTGTGCTAGCAGAGGCAGCAAGAGATTAGACAGTAGCCTCGCGTCACCCCAACCACCTACAAGAAATTACAAATTATTACAATGGTTTGGCAAGTCAACCCCAAACACTTCTATGTATACAGATAGCTGACAACGTAAATATGCCACGCACTTGAATTTTCATTTACGACAGTTACTTCTTTTAGGTAATCTATCTAATAAAAATGTAAATAGCAGACGTCTGTACATTTTATTTTTTTTGTAATAAAAGTGATTGAGAGATACTAAAAATAAGTAATTAAATACATTTCTACCGTTTTTAGAATTGTCTGTCTGGCTGTTTGTTTGTTAACGTATCACATATAAATTACTAATTTATATCATGAGAATCGTTAAGGAAATTATAAAGTGTATCTTCAAGTTACATTTAGTCTTTATTTCATTAAAATCAGTTCATTCCATCAAAAGTTATGATAAATATTCTGAAGTATGGGTACGAGGTATATAGTACGAATTTGTTCAATGGTGGCGTTGATTGAGTCATCAAGTGCATTTTAAACTAATATCATATTATAAATCATAATTAAATGATGTTAAATGGTGTTCTATAATGATATAATTATATCTAAAACGCAGTATACAAAAGTATTAAAGAACGTAATAAGTATATACAAAAATATATTAATCTTATTATCTAAGTCTAAAGTACAATAGTTAACCAATTTCGTCGATAGATGGCGGTGTTGTACAAATGTAATACAAAAAGGCAGGTTGTGGTTTTTTCCTGTAGATGAGTGTTCATATTTGCTGCTAATCTTTATATTAATCGTTGCCCTACTGCGTGTTGACAAACTCAATTATTCTTTACCGCCGAGTAATCTAATTGGTAAATAAAATTTTAAAAGAGCTATTAACAATTTCGTTGGTTTTGGCTAGGATCAAACTTTCTTTTTTGCTTACTATGCACGCACTCATTTATAAGTGTTTTTATGTTTTATATAATGTATCAATTGCGTCAATTAATCTCTTTTATTTTTAGAATTGATGTTAACAGCGCCATCTCTCTTTAAATCTATACATATAATAAACATGATGATAACATGTTGTGTCTGTTTATGTACATTGTATAGTAGGTATGTTTGTGACTAAAATCATTATGGGGACTGAAAATCATTAAATAAGTACATTTTTATATCTTTTAGAATTGTCTGTCTGTCGGTCTGTGGGTCTGTCTGTTTGATTTTGAACGCATAACGTTTTGAGTAAACATCTTTTTTGCAAAGAAGCCGTTCAGAAAATCATAAAGCGTATATTCGAGTTCATTTTTAATCTTTGTTTTATTAAAATTGGTTAATTCTATCGAAAATAATGATTCTTATTTTGAAATCTAGGTTCGAATCTGATTAAAGGCGCTATAAAACTCAGAAATAGTAATAAAAAGATTCGTGTGTAAATAAAAAACGTTCTATTATAATATACTTAAAACACCGTAAACAAAAAATATGTTGGCTTAAATTAAAAAAAGGATATTTTCTCATAAAGAACGGAATAGATCACGTTGTATAAATTACAACTTTTTCAGAATTGCGGTGGCGCCCCTTTTTCCTAAAGGGGGTCGCTTCCGATTCGGCAGGAAGGCCATAATGGCCAACGCCAGTCCCACAGGTGGTGTTTAGTGGGTAGGCACTTCTTCAAAGTGAGTCCCACATAACCACGCAGCCGGCTGCCGTGGTATGCTATGACCATTCACCACCTCCCTCCCCCGCTTCCAGAGGCTTCCTCGCTTTGGGCGCAAAACAAAATAAAATTGCGGTGTTAAGATTTTTCACTTTTTTTTAATCGTATTGAGACTCACTGAAGAAATTTGTACCCATGAGTACGATGAAGTTGAAAGAGCCGTGTAGGCTAACAGCACAAACATCACCAGAAACCAGAAAAGAAACACGCCCACCCAAGCTATGCAACGAAACTCGATTAAAATCTAACAAAATTGCAACAAAATGGCGTGATATTGTTTTTATACCTAGAATCCCTCTAATCCCAAATAACTTTCCTTTCAGTTTTAAGCATGTTCAGTTCCCAGTCAGCGTGTGTTATGCGACGACCGTAAATAAAGCGCAAGCTCAAACTTTACGCGTTCCAGGAGTGGACCTCAGTACTAACTGTTTTGCACATGGCCAACTCTATGTTGTTTTTTCCCGCGTTAGTAGGCCCCATAACCTATTTGTGTACCTACGCCCCGGTCGTATACTTCTAACGTCGTTTACACAGAAGCTCTATCATAAACGACTTAGAACTTTGAGGATAACGATTTATTTGTTACCACTTATTGATACAGTAATGATATAAATCGTTTAATATTCTCTTAACTAAACGTCAAATTCTTGAAGTAAAACCTATATACGCGAGCTACGCCGCGGGCACAGCTATACGAAATAAAGTTACATAGGTATCAGAAATATACTTCAAATCATGTGGACAAAGTACGCACATAAATAATGACACATTGTACACATTGAAGTCCTTGATCATACCTACTATAATTGAGCCATAGTAGCTCAGCGGCTAAACGCAACTTGCTTAATAACCCTCTCCAAAATGAGAGAAGACCTGTGCCCAATTTCTAGAAGTGGGGGGCACGTGTGCTTTCTTTGGGAGACACTGGATTAATTGAGTATAGACTATAGCAGTCTTTATTATTCTTGTATACTGAGAAATAAGAAAAGGGAAACGTCTTTTCAATGAATTCTGATACTCACCATTTTCAAGTACATCCAGAATACGTTTGATGAGTAAATCCTTTTTGTCGAACCACGTATGCCAGTCCTGTTGATAATTGTGACACAAAAAATTATTAAATGATAGATTTATAAATATAAACTTGTGTCAATTGAAATTCTCTTCTCACCAAAACATTTTAATTGTGTAGTGACGGTGTAAGAATATTCACTACCCCATATAGTCTCGTGCCAAGTTATTGCCACGCTTGGCCTCGGGTTGGCAATCGCACTTATTATTATTATTTTTTATAGAAGAGGGGGCAAACAAGCATGCGGCTCACCTGATGGTAAGTGACTACCGCCGCCAATGAACAACCGCAACACCAGGGGAATTGCAGATGCGTTGCCGGCCTTTTAGAAAGGTGTATTCTTTCACAGAGAAGTTGTACGAGGAAGAAAACTCCTAGTGAAACGCACATTTGTGGACCACCAGTTATATTAATTTTTTAGTTGTTACTGGGAAGATGCTGCTGCCCAAATTCTGATTTGTTTCACACTGTCTCCTTTTACATCACCCACGGGATGATATCGGGTAATGGATATTCTTACGCGACCACTACACGGTAATTTTAATTATACAATGTAGTAATTAATAAATGACAGTTTTGAGTTTTAATTATCTAATTTCCTATGAAAGTTATAAGCTAGAAAGCTTGTGGTACCATCAGGTGGATTATAGTAGGCAGAAAAGGAATAGCAACAGCTTATAACAGATCACTCTTAGAGATGTCGTGATAACGTTAACAATTATAGTAATGTGTGTAAGTCAGCCCAAGCGCACACCGACCCGTGGATGTTGTAAAAAGCGACAGAGGGAAACTGAAACTGGAGATGGGCAGGCACTATCTTCCTGATAACAATTCAAAATAATTAAAAAAAAACTGCGGTTGCCAAGCGTGGCAACTATGGCACAATCCCAACTATGAGACAATCTATGAGGAGGCCTATGTTCAGCATTTATGGACTTTTATAGGCTGTAATACATTAGTTCAGGGTTTCTTAACCTAGGGTCAAAAATAAAGGTAAAAAAGTCGAACGCATTGATAAAAGCGTGGCTGAACGCTTGACTTAGGTTTTAGGTGTTTCTATAAGAAAGGGCTTCTATAGGGTTCTGGGCCCCGACGCCAAGTGCTAAGTACCACCACTGTAGGGTTTATGCCGCAGCCGAAAAAATGGATTTTGTGTGTTTTGGGTGTGTTAATGTTCATGTGTCCCGCGACATAGAGAATTCTAGTGTGGGTTTGAGTGTGTGTGTAACCGCTATGTTGTGTTGTTGTGTTAGTAACGAGTCCATGGCGATCATAGTAGAATCTCTTAGGGATCCGACGTTGAAAAAGTTAGGAAGATGTTGTACTGGTCCACGTGAGAGTCGTAAGAGGAGACAAAGGGAAATGCATCATATGCAAAATTAACAACAGTGGTGATTACAACTCTAATAGGGCCTATATACCATCGGCCATGATTGACAATCACAGAATGGGGCATGATTGTCACAATCATTGCGCGGCTGCCCACACAATCGTGTATTCTACATGTTTGTTTTGTCATCTCTCCGAGATGGACCATGAGATAGTAGTAGCTGCCGCTATTTATTTAATAGGTTATAATATAACTATTATTGAAATGTAGAACACAACAGAGTGGTGAAAAAAAAGGGAAGTTGTTCTATTTTTACTTCTTCTATTTTGGTGTATGTTAACAATACACTGAAATAGAATAAGGTAAGTTTATAGAACATCGGCGTTCGGCGCTTATGTAGACACATGCATGATCATGGCTGAACTTCCTTTGATGTTTGTCTGAAAAACCGACACCATTACGCTCGATCATTACCGATCATGGGCAGTTATAGGTGATTATACCCTCTACATGATTGTGATCACTAGAATTCGTCCATCATGGTCGATGGTGTATAGGCCCCATAAATAATAATAAACGTATAGGGTTTTGTATGTGGTAGAGCCATGCTGCAGTTATATTATGGTTAAGAACTATGCTATCATAGGATACAAGCGTAAAATTGTAGTTTTATACTGCTGTATTTTTATGATATGTGTAGAGAACTGGAGAACTTTTTTATTGAAAACGAGGTATGAGTCCTCAGGGGTAACAACGAATCTGTATTTTGATTTTTAACACAGGATGGATGTAGATGGATGGATGGATGTATCTATGTGCCTCAGAGTGCATTTACCATCAGGTGGACTGTGTTTGTCTTGCAATCTTATTTTATAAAAAGAAAAACTGTGATTGCTAATCCATTTATTAAGTGTGACAACTATGTCAAATGAGGCAATGACGGCTTTGTGGCACAGTGGCTTAGTAATGAGTTGTTGTGCTAAGGGTTGCGGGTTTGAATTCTTTATAGAACAAGTATTTGTATGGCCTATAAATAATTGTTGCGGGTTTAGTTGTCCTTGTGAAATTTATGTACTGCTTCCATGATACAGGAGAAAATCTTAGTGTGGAGGCAATGTAATTAATAATAATAATAAAAAATCTATGAGAGGTTTATGTTCAGTGAATTTTTATAAATTGTAATGTGTGAATGATGTGTATATATGCTAGTTAGATGTTTTTTTTTTTATAGAAAAAGGATAATAAACGAGCATATAGTCCACTTGATGGTAAATGGATGCAGTGTCTCATAAACATCTATAACAAACCTCGATTGTAAATCTAAATAACAATGCGTTGTTAGTTACCCCTGAGGACTAAGATGGAATGGCTTGTTTCGTGTAAAAAGTTTGTCGCTTTTTTCGTGTAAAAGGGAAGAGAGCAGCATTGAGCTGGTATTATACGATGGTATAGTGTGAGAGCGCGGTGCTCTCCACTGGAGCCGCAGCTACACGTGAGGCGCGTGAGGCACGTGAGCGCGTGAGGCACGCACCGGCACGCTGCGCACGAGCAGCAGCAGCGCGGCCCAGCGCGCGCCGCCCGCGCCCCCGCCCCCGCCCCCGCACACGAGCGCGCGCGCCGCCTTGCCGCCGTACTCCGCGCCGAAGCGCTCCTTGAACCGCTCCATCATCCGACCCACGGCACCGTACCACGCCGCACTGACACACACAAATTATTTCTATGTCAGTTATTCATCAAACACTTTTATGTATACTAACTAGACAGGCAATTCGAAAAAATCGCGCGAGCCGGTAGCTGGCACGGTAAGTATGCCACGCAATTATATTTTAATTTACAACAGTTACTATTTTAAGACAAATCTATATAATTATAATAATAGCAATTTGTAGTTGTGCGCTCATCACGAAAAACTACGGGATGGATTTCAATTAGGTTTTCTAAGTTTTATTTCTTAAACACTTCGGCCTTACTGCTGGGCCTAGTGCGACCTGTATAGATAACATTTTTACAGATGTTAAGCCCTTGCATAAATCAATTATCCAAATTTAAGTTCAGATCACTATGGACAGTTAGTATCACTACCTTACATACACAAAAAACAGAAAAATAAGAAAGTTGTGTTTGTTCCAATAAATGAACATCGCTTGGAGAGGTTTAGAAGTAATATAATAAAAAGACTTCCATCACTTTCGTTTAAAAGTAGTACTAATTATTTGTATGCTACATTATTTGAAATCATACATTGTGAATTTAGTAGAATATTTACTTCTAAAACTTTCTCTCTTAACAGTCGCAAATCATTTAATGAATGGGCGACAGTAGGAATTTATAAAAGTAGGCGAAGGTTATACGAGCTTTATGATGAAAGATCATATAATAGTAGTGTTATATTTAGAGATTATGTAAAAACATATTCTAAAATATTTAAAAAAGTGTGCTCCACTGCTAAGGCTTTACATTTAAGCAACAAAATTAAAACTGCATCCGACAAAATTAAAATGACCTGGAGAATAATAAATAGTGAAACGGGCAAGGTCAAACCGCGCAACTCGGATTTTCAATTAAATATTAACAATAATTTAACGCGATCTGATCAAGAAGTTGCTATGGCTTTTGAGAAACATTTTACTGATGTTCCTTTTTTGACAACAAAATCATTAAATTCTTCTCCTACTGTCGCCGAATCATTGCTCAAACAAAATGTAAAGGCTTGTTCAAATACTTTTAAATTCCATAGGGTACTGCCAAAAAATATCGTTAAATATTTTAAAACTATTGATGTTAAGAAAACGGCAGACTTATGGGGGATTTCCGTTAAAGTTATTTTATCTATAATAGATACATTAGCACCTTATCTAGCCACTATATTTAATATAAGCGTCGAATCTGGTGTGTTTCCTGATTTAATGAAACATAATAAAGTCATACCTATATTTAAATCTGGTAGTACATTAGACCCCGCCAATTTTAGGCCAATTTCTGTACTACCAACATTAAGTAAAATTTTTGAAAAAAATATTTTAGATCAGATGTTAAGTTTCTTCAATATTAATAAATTGCTACATAAAAATCAATTCGGTTTTACAAGGGGTCGCTCGACAACTGACGCTGGAGTTGAGCTTATTAAACATATTTTTTGTGCATGGGAGAATTCAAAGGATGCTTTGGGTATATTTTGTGACCTTTCCAAGGCCTTCGACTGTGTTCACCATGAGATATTAATCAGGAAGCTACAGTACTATGGTGTCAAGAACACAGCGCTTAAACTTATTATTTCATATTTAAGTAATAGAAAACAGAAGGTTATTATCAATGGTAAAAGTTCTTCCGGGTCACCTGTACTAATGGGTGTTCCTCAGGGCTCGATTCTCGGCCCATTCCTGTTTCTGGTGTATATTAATGACTTACCTCATCTTGTAGGGGATAGTCATGATATAGTATTATTTGCTGATGATACTTCCTTGATTTTTAAACTTAAACGTAAATCATTTAAATGTGACGAAGTGAATAATGCTATATCAAAATTAGTGCATTGGTTTAACTTTAATAATCTGCATTTGAACGGAAATAAAACTAATTGTGTTAAATTTACAACAACGAATGTTAAAAATCTTAATACAAATGTGTTTTTAAATGGGGAGGAATTGAGCCCTGTTGTATCCACTGTTTTTCTTGGCATCACTCTTGACGCAAAGCTACAGTGGGGCCCCCATATATCCAAATTAGCAAGCAGACTAAGTTCTGCAGCCTATGCTGTAAAAAAGATTAGAGGTCTCACTAGTGTCGAGACAGCTAGATTAGTTTATTTTAGTTATTTTCATAGCATAATGTCTTATGGGATTTTGCTATGGGGAAATGCGGCTGATTCAGAAACTATTTTTGTTTTACAGAAGAGGGCCATTAGAGCTATTTACAATCTAAAACCGAGAGAGTCCCTTAGAGATAAATTTAAATAAATTAATATATTAACTGTGGCCTCTCAGTATATTTACGAAAATTTAATGTATGTTCACAAAAACAAAGATAGTTTTAGTAAAAGAAGTGATATACATTCTGTAAACACTAGAAACAAACACAAGCTAGTAATACCAGTTTCTCGACTCCACAGAGTCAGTAATTCATTCTTGGGGCAATGTATACGCTATTACAACAAGGTCCCGGAAAGTGTACAGGTTCTCTCTATTACCAAGTTTAAATGTTTTATTAAGCTGAAACTGTATAAAAAGGGTTATTATAGTATAAATGAATACATGGTTGATAATAACCCCTGGGAATGAGGTGATCGCTTCCAAGCAGTTTCTAAAATAAATTTTGTAAATAGTTCGTAATCATTTATATTGTAAAATTTATTTAAAAAAAAGTCCCGCTGGGTTTCTTGCTGGTTCTTCCCAGGACAGAGGGTTTTTTCGAACCAGTGGTAAAGTAAAAAATGACTTTCAATAAGAATTACACATGTAATGTATATTGAATAAAAAATATTCTATTCTATTCTATTCTTATATAAAAAAAAATATTGCGATATCTTCATTCAATATAAAGTTGTTAACGTTTAAAAAAATAACTATTTATATAATGGGTTTTTCACACAGACAACTGTACGACGCTACCTCTCGCATTACTAACCCAGACAATTTATATATTTTAGCTACAAACGTCAATCTTTTTGATATATTTTTTTCCTTCGCACATACGAAAACTTTGTTAATATATCATGCAACGCAGACAAAGTCGCAAGTATCAGCTAGTACGAAATAAAGTTACATACTTATCTGAGATAAACTTTAAATCAAATTGAAAAAGTACACACCTAAAAAATGTCAGCGTTTTCGAAACCATATTAAACAAAATCAGTGTATAATTGTCGAAAACAATATTCACAATTTATAAAACAAAGAACTAGTGTTATACACTCTCAGTCGATTGAAAATACGGATAACTTAAAACATTAAGTAATTTAAATATATTAATATTAAGTAACTAAAAGTATTAAAACTGCAGAGCTCATCTAGTTACATACATGAAATCTTTAGTATCCACACATTAAATTAAAACTTAACAAAACAAATAAAAAATTTATTTTATTAATTCTTTACAATTTTAGCGTTCCATACATATTTGATATATAATAGCAGCGTAGAAGAATCCATCACGTAATTGCCATAAGAGCCGACTTTAAAATACGGCAAAATTCCTTTGATGTCCAACGGTACGAAAAAAATAATACTACAACTGTGAATCCACATATCAAACCTAAAATTTTACACAAATTTTCTTTAAATAGGAGAGTTAATAATAATTAAAAAAAAGGAATACAAAATTCAGCAATTTTATTCAGCTGATTGACGCTTACAAAATTTCAAATCACCTTAATGGTTGGCTGTCGGCCATAGAGATTTTACTCTCTGCAAAAGACCTCATAAATAATTTAAATTTAACAATTACCTATAAAAGACGGTTGCCCAAAAAAAAATCGAAGGAAACTTTTTAAAGACCATTAAATATAATTTCATTATCAAAGTAAACACATACATTGTATTATGGTAACAACATAAATAAATCATCATAAAAACTTCTCCCATACGTAGCTAGGTCACCAAAATACCAAATCTAAAATATCGCCATCAAAATTATGCATCATTATTATGACATTTCTAGCCTATATTAAAGGACTATATTATACATGTCAATGGAAATTATAATCAACACTGATAGATAGGATCAATACTGTTACATAGATCGTCTTTAGAAAAGCTTTCAATACTATAGATCATGAATTATAATTACATTGCTTCAAAAATTAATTCTAGGAGTATGACAAATATCAAACACAAATTTAATAATATGTATAATGCCTATATGATCATTAAGGAAGTGTTTAGCAATTGAATTAATCATATGTCGTTATTTATACTCCTGATGTATCGCTAGGTTTTCCCTCAAGACCATTATTTTATATTATTTATAAACGACATTGGAGTGTTTAAATGGAAGTGAACATTTATTGACCTCATATATGTTACATTGAAAGAATATTTAAAAAAGTAGTTACTAATTTAGGTTCAGCTTTAATTTTTTATACATTGATGCATCATCGTGGTTGTTTTTTTTTTTCATTTATACCAGACGAGTGGAACAAATGTTTAATGCTATGCTATGGTGCGTCTTCATTACTCAGTTGAAAATGCGGCAAGTATGTAGCAATCTGGCGTAGCCGTAAAGTTCACCAGTTATATACTTGGCGGCAAAACATTTGCCAGTTTATAGTTTAATTGTAAAAATATCAAATGTATAAATTAAATACAAGTGGAAATAAAATTAGAATATATAAAGCATTGCACTAACCGGATATGATGTTGTTCATTAGTATTTTGAACCATCTTCCAAAATGTTCCTGAACGTAGTAGAGGCGTCAGGACCTCCCAAAGCCAGTCATCATGAGAAGGTGGTAAATGAAAAACAAAAAGCTCCAACGCACCGAGGCTGCTTGCTATGATTTGTGACACTTGGATCTCTCTTTCTTCTTTATTTTCTATCCTGTAATAAAACATAGGTACCCATTTTTACTATTGGATAGAACGTAACTAAATTGACAACTTAATTTATTTATTTCAGAAATTAAATATTGTGATATATATATAGATAAACAAAAAAAACAAGAATTACATTTAATTGATTTAGTTTATCAAGCACATAAATTCTACATATTATTGTAAGTAGCGTTTTATCTCCGCAAAATCCGTGGTGTCTTTTTTATTTATTACGGCTTACGACAGTCCACTGCTGAACAACATAAGTCTCCCCATAGATTGCCTCATAGGAGGATATTTAGCATAGTTGCCACGTTTGGCATTCGAGTTGGCATTGCGAAGACGTTGCATCTCAGGGCACAATCTATTGCGAGGAATTGTTTGGATTAATTTCAGTTGCAGAATTCCACCATCGTACACTGTCACAGAACTTGAAATTCCATCCTCATAATCTCGATGGTTGGCGGTCCACTGCCGTGCGATTTAAGCAGAATTTGATGTGAAAACACTCAACAACACTGGAATTTACTGTCGCCAGCGGTTTAACCGGTTTTTTTCCGGACTGATATGACTTAGGGACCTTCAAGAAAAGATCTTAATACTTTTTAAAAGCCGACAGCGCACTTGAATTACCCTGGTATTGCAGATAGTCATGGGCGATCTGGTGGGCCGTATATTGGCTTACTTCCTAATTTATTTTTTATTCATCCTGTTCCAATTTTATCTGAGGCGTCTTACGACACCCACCTGATGATAATAAGGAGTAGCAAATTCTCTTACGTCACGTTGCTATTAGAGAAATTTGAGTTGTCGATGGGCGGATGTAGACATGCACATAGTTCCAACTTGGTAAATTTATATTACGGCGGCAGCACGAACAGGTAGATTTGATCGGGAAGGGAACCAGTTCCATAGAATTCTAAGTAGCAAAAATATACTGTTGTTTCGTATGAAACGAAGACCCTTTTCACTGATAACGAGGAATTTCATATTAATCCTCAAGGGGGACAGTGCATCTGCCCGTTAATTCTTAATCGAGAATAGATATAGGTGTATATGGGACACAGTATCCATTTATTATTAGGTTAACAGTCCATGTACGAGCAAGTGCATGGTATTTCTATAGTTTAGGAAATATGCTGATATTGCGCCTGTGCGCGCGACACGTTCATTAAGTATTTTTAGTACAATAAACGCTCTCTACGGAATCGGACACAGTTTAATTACCACATCCCGTAATGAACATACAACCTACATCGACATCCTACACATCAATTATACGAGTATGTAGAGGGTCACAATTCACAATACTCCCGTATGGGGGTAACTGTATAGTTCACCTAATAAAAAGTGGATACTGTGTCCCATGATCACTAGTAATTTGAATAAAAATCATTCCACCACTTTAATGTATGTGTAATATTTATTATGTAGTTTATTATGTAATTTTCTATAAAATATAGTACTGACTTTTTACTAAGCATCGCTTCGGCATTCCCCATTAGGTTCTCAAGGAGAAGAGAAATGATCTCCACTTTGCAGAATGAAAATGCTTCTCCAAGCTTGCCTTCTGGAAATGTACTCTGTGAAAATTGTATAATTGTAATAGTTTAAATATATACATATACGTCACGACTCAGAAGTCAAGGAGCAGCGAGCCACTCGGAACACGTTTAGCCAAAAGAAATTTGGGTATAGATGGAAAATTGCAAGTAATATGTGGCTAGCACATCATCATCATCATCATCATTACAGCCTTTCATAAGTCCACTGCTGAACATAGGCCTCCCCCAAGGAATGCCACAAAGCACGGTCCTGAGCCACCTGCATCCATCGACTTACTGCATGTCTTACCAGGTCGTCACTCCATCTCGTGGGGGGTCGCCGTACACTTCGCCTACCGGTACGAGGCTGCCACTCGAGAACCTTTCTTCCTCATCGGTTGTCGGTTCTTCGAGCTATATGACCGGCCCACTGCCACTTCAGCTTACTAATCCGTTGGGCTATGTCGGTTACTCTGGTTCTACTGCGGATATACTCATTTCTAAGTTTATCACGCAGAGAAACTCCGAGCATAGCCCTCTCCATAGCTCGCTGAGCGACCTTGAGCTTCCTCATACGGCCAGCAGTGAAGGACCACGTCTCAGTTTCGTAAGTCATCACTGGCAACACGCACTGGTTGTACAATCTCGTTTTCAGGTTTTGAGGTATACCTGACGGTAAGATGTGTCTATTCTCCAATCATTGCCCGACTGGGCAATCGTCGGATTCACTCGGCCGAGTTGAATTGTTGATTGACGATTCAGTCGATTGACCTCTCGTTCGAAGTTGGACTTACCTAGTCGGACTATTTGTCCCAGGTAAACATACTCATCAACAACTTCGAGCTTAGTGCTCCCAACAACTACCGGCATAGGTGTGACATGGACATTAAACATAATCTTTGTTTTGTCCATGTTCATCTTAAGACCTATCCGTTGGGAGATACTATTGAGGTCATTGAGCATAGTGCTTAGGTCCTCCAGCGAGTCTGCCATGAGGACTATATCGTCGGCAAATCGAAGGTGAGTGATGTACTCGCCATTGATGTTAATACCGTATCCTTTCCAGTCCAGAAGTTTGAAAACGTCTTCCAATGCAGCGGTGAAGAGTTTCGGGGATATAACATCACCCTGTCTTACACCTCTCTGCAATTGGATAGGTTTCGTATTCTGGTTCTGTACTCGGATAGCCATCGTAGCTCTACTGTACAAACACTTCAGCACTTCGATATACCGACAGTCAACTTGGCACCGCTGAAGGGACTGCAGCACCGCCCAAATTTCGACGGAATCATAGACTTTCTCATAGTCCACATACGCCAGACATAGTGGCAATTTGTACTCTTCGGACTTCTGTACAATTTGCCGAAGGGTATGTATGTGGTTTATGGTGCTAAAGCCCTTTCGGAAACCGGCTTGTTCGGGAGGCTGGAAGTCGTCAAGTCTGCGCGCGAGACGATTCGTAATGACTCTCGAAAACAGCACGTAGACGCGGTTCAGAAGGGAAATCGGTCTGTAGTTCTTCAAGAGACCGTTGTCACCTTTCTTGAAGAACAAGACCACTGCACTTCTGCTCCACGCCTCCGGTGTAATGCCACCATGGAGGACGGAATTAAAGAGCTTCTGAAGGACTTCAAGTACCGGTCTTCCACCCGCTTTCAAAAACTCCGCTGTAATTCCATCCTCGCCTGGGGCCTTGCCGTTTTTAATTCTAATTTTTTAGCTTTTAAGCCATTCTAATCTCGCTCAGACTGACGTCCGGGATATCTTCGGAATAGTGTCGGATGAGACTCGCTCTTGGATCGTTACTCACACTTGCGTGTGGCTCCAACGATGACGTGTACAGTTGCCCATAGAACCTCTTAATCTCACTCAAAATCTCAGGTGTCCCGGAAACGATGCTGCCACATTCGGTCTTTAGCTTTGACAGTTGGCTCTTTCTGGCAGACAGATCTCTGGCAAAGACTTTGGAGCCTTGGTTCCGCTCGATCGCTTCTTCAATACAAGCTGTATTGAAGTTGCGTAAGTCCCGCCGCATGCATTTGGAGATCTGTCTGTTCAGTTGCCTGTATGCTGTCAAATCTGTTGAAGAATGTAGCTTCATCTCTCGTCTAACAGCCATGAGATTAAGAGTGTGATCGGAGAGTTTTTGTGTTCTTCTGCGGCGGGTCTTGCAGAACTTAGCTCCGACCGCATGGACAGTTTCCACGAGCTTGTCATTCATATCGTCCACTTCATTGCATTCTTCTAGGCACTGAAAACGGTTTTGTAACTCGAGCTGAAAGGTTCCGGGACTTTGGAACAGAGTACGAGGGGGACGGAGCGTTGACTTCATTAGACGCGACCTCTCCAACTTAACGTTTAGGTTCAGTGTGCCTCTAACCATTCGGTGATCGCTACCAGTTTTCACCCTCGCGATCACGGAGACATCACTGAACAGTTGTCGTCTGGTCGTCATAATGAAGTCAATCTCATTTTTTGTCGAACCGTCGGGGCTCGACCAGGTTCAATTCCTGTGGGGCCGCTTCTGTAAGAAAGAGTTCATCATAAAGAGTCCCTCTTTCTCCATGAAGTCAGCCAGCTGCTGGCCCCTTGGGTTCCGTTGCCCTATTCCAAATTTCCCTACTTTCAGCTCACCGTTCTCTCTTGTGCCTAGTTTTGCATTGAAGTCTCCCATTAACACCGTATATTGGGTTTTGGAGGAATGCATGGCTCTAGAGATATCCTCATACATTTCCTCCACCTCCTCATCGGGGTGTGCCGAGGTTGGTGCTGTATGACCTTCAGCGAATACCGTTTGGTGATTCTGAGTATAAGGTACGCAACCCTCGTCGACACACTCCCGATCTTTACAACGTTGTTAACGAGAGACTTGTGGACGATAAATCCGACACCTCCTTGGGACAGATGGTCGCCCTCCCGGTGATAGAGCAAGTTGCCGGATTCGAGGATTACCGTGTCCTCCCCCTCTCTTCGGACTTCGGATAATCCTATAATATGCCAGCGCAACTTGTCTATCTCTTCTTCCAGCTCCACGATCTTCTCGTCAGTCCTCAGGGTGCGTGCGTTGTACGTTGCCCGGTCGAGTCGTCTAAGGTGGCAACCGAACCTCCACCGGAGATTCTTAGCACCCCCTGCCCCGCCGTTACTATGGTCGCCCCCGTAGCCAGGAATAGCGGGGCCGCCGGGCACTGGGGGCCGTCTGTTTGCTGCTTTGATCATTGGGGAGTATTTGCCATAGTAGCCACGCTTGGCGAGCGGGTTGGTAACCGCAGTTTTTTTTATTGTAATTTTGGCTATTATCAGGAAGATGCTGCTGCCCATCTCCTGCCTGTTTCCCTTTGTCGCCTTTTACGACACCCACGGGAGGATATGGGGTAGTGGATATTCTTGACCGCCACTACACGGCAACATATCATGAGTAAATCTCTGTCTGAGGAATAAAATATTTAGAGGAGATGAGAACACCTCCCACAGGCATCGTAGCAGCGCCGCGTACTAATTCCCCTCCATAACACTGCCAGAAATGAGGGAAGGTACCCTGTACCAGTCGTGGGACGTGTATAGACTGGTAGCTTTACATTTAAGCCACTTGATGTGATACTAGAAGCGCTCAATTGGCTGCGTTGCCGCTCCAGCATCGCATTGTGGCAATATGCGCCTTACGGTACGGTGTCGTACTGTCTCAACATAATGCGACACCGCACCGTACTGTATGATGCTTCGGATTCTAGATGTACATAACTAACAAAGAAATGAACTATGAATTAATAAGTGATAGTTTCATCTGACGTACGTAATAGAATAATAGAAAAGACAGGAATAATAATAAAAAATGTCTAGGCTGTTTACATTTTTTATTGTTGCCCGTATCTTAACCAGTATTGCTGCTAATGTCTTTTCATCTAAATAATGATTCGAACTAGTTCTAATAGGATTTTCGGCATTAAATATTTGCGCATATTAATCATTATCATCATCGTTACAAGTGTTAATGTCACTAACTTGCAACAGCAGCCAGCAGCTGTGCAAGTTGTGCGTGCGCTAGTACCGTGAGCGAGGTGACGGCGTGGTGCTGCGCCAGCAGCCAGCAGCTGTGCAAGTTGTGCGTGCGCTAGTACCGTGAGCGAGGTGACGGCTTGGTGCTGCGCCAGCAGCCAGGCCGGCAGCAGCCAGCAGCTGTGCAAGTTGTGCGTGCGCTAGTACCGTGAGCGGGGTGACGGCGTGGTGCTGCGCCAGCAGCCAGCAGCTGTGCAAGTTGTGCGTGCGCTAGTACCGTGAGCGAGGTGACGGCTTGGTGCTGCGCCAGCAGCCAGGCCGGCAGCAGCCAGCAGCTGTGCAAGTTGTGCGTGCGCTAGTACCGTGAGCGGGGTGACGGCGTAGTGCTGCGCCAGCAGGCAGGCCGGCAGCAGCCAGCAGCTGTGCAAGTTGTGCGTGCGCTAGTACCATGAGCGGGGTGACGGCGTGGTACTGCGCCAGCAGCCAGGCCGGCAGCAGCCAGCAGCTGTGCAAGATGTGCGTGCGCTAGTACCGTGAGCGAGGTGACGGCGTGGTGCTGCGCCAGCAGCCAGGCCGGCAGCAGCCAGCAGCTGTGCAAGTTGTGCGTGCGCTAGTACCGTCAGCGAGGTGACGGCGTGGTGCTGCGCCAGCAGCCAGCAGCTGTGCAAGTTGTGCGTGCGCTAGTACCGTGAGCGAGGTGACGGCGTGGTGCTGCGCCAGCAGCCAGCAGCTGTGCAAGTTGTGCGTGCGCTAGTACCGTGAGCGAGGTGACGGCGTGGTGCTGCGTCAGCAGCCAGCAGCTGTGCAAGTTGTGCGTGCGCTAGTACCGTGAGCGAGGTGACGGCGTGGTGCTGCGCCAGCAGCCAGGCCGGCAGCAGCCAGCAGCTGTGCAAGTTGTGCGTGCGCTAGTACCGTCAGCGAGGTGACGGCGTGGTGCTGCGCCAGCAGCCAGCAGCTGTGCAAGTTGTGCGTGCGCTAGTACCGTGAGCGAGGTGACGGCGTGGTGCTGCGCCAGCAGCCAGCAGTTGTGCAAGTTGTGCGTGCGCTAGTACCGTGAGCGAGGTGACGGCGTGGTGCTGCGCCAGCAGCCAGCAGCTGTGCAAGTTGTGCGTGCGCTAGTACCGTGAGCGAGGTGACGGCGTGGTGCTGCGCCAGCAGCCAGGCCGGCAGCAGCCAGCAGCTGTGCAAGTTGTGCGTGCGCTAGTACCGTGAGCGAGGTGACGGCGTGGTGCTGTGCCAGCAGCCAGCAGTTTTGCAAGTTGTGCGTGCGCTAGTACCGTGAGCGAGGTGACGGCGTGGTGCTGCGCCAGCAGCCAGCAGCTGTGCAAGTTGTGCGTGCGCTAGTACCGTGAGCGAGGTGACGGCGTGGTGCTGCGCCAGCAGCCAGCAGCTGTGCAAGTTGTGCGTGCGCTAGTACCGTGAGCGAGGTGACGGCGTGGTGCTGCGCCAGCAGCCAGCAGCTGTGCAAGTTGTGCGTGCGCTAGTACCGTGAGCGAGGTGACGGCGTGGTGCTGTGCCAGCAGCCAGCAGCTTTGCAAGTTGTGCGTGCGCTAGTACCGTGAGCGAGGTGACGGCGTGGTGCTGCGCCAGCAGCCAGCAGCTGTGCAAGTTGTGCGTGCGCTAGTACCGTGAGCGAGGTGACGGCGTGGTGCTGCGCCAGCAGCCAGCAGCTGTGCAAGTTGTGCGTGCGCTAGTACCGTGAGCGAGGTGACGGCGTGGTGCTGCGCCAGCAGCCAGCAGCTGTGCAAGTTGTGCGTGCGCTAGTACCGTGAGCGAGGTGACGGCGTGGTGCTGCGCCAGCAGCCAGCAGCTGTGCAAGTTGTGCGTGCGCTAGTACCGTGAGCGAGGTGACGGCGTGGTGCTGCGCCAGCAGCCAGCAGCTGTGCAAGTTGTGCGTGCGCTAGTACCGTGAGCGAGGTGACGGCGTGGTGCTGCGCGGGCGCGTGCTCGTCGCGCTGCGCCAGCAGCCAGGCCGGCAGCAGCCGCCGCAGCTGCGGGGCCACACGTCTCCCTGCCAAGCGTACGATGCTCGCGTGACACGCCTGAAACAACGTTTATTATCGGACAAACAACTCACCGAATAACTCGAGTTATTCGAAAACAAGAATGTGTTTAAATATCCGTCTGCATTCATTCAACGTAGATCTTTTAGACTCTCGTTGTTACGATTTTATGTCTACGTTTAGGCCAAACAATTAACTTTTGAAATTTGCATTCGCACTCGTTCCGCCCGCTGACTTGTAAAGGTCACCTTGGCCCCACTTCCGTGCGTCGTCGGGTAGGACGGCGCGAGGTCAGAACGTGAGTGCAACAGAGTTGCTAGAACAGTGCTATCGAGAGCACGTTTTAAAGTCGCCCGGGAAACCTCCATTTTTGGAGTCCGGTTTGTTAGCAGATTTTGCCACGACGAAGGTTTCTTTGTTAAGTTTAGAATTCGACGCCGGGCTGACAAATTGTTAGGAAGTTAACATTGACTGCGATCAAAGTTTAAATTGTGTGTTATGCGCGCCTAATTTACCGCGAATTTGGTTATTCTAATTTGATAGCATATAAGTGCATTTGACAATATTAATTTGCTCGAGTGGCCTTTGATATAGTTCGGATACGTTTTCGGTATTAGAGGTGTGTTACGCTTTAGTTTAGTGTCAGTGGCGTCTGGAAATATAGTTAATAGACTGTCTTAGTGAAGAAGGAAGAAAGTGACGGTGGGTGACGCCGCGGGAGATTACCACAATTTGGAGCGGCGCCGAAGCCCGGTCTGCTGCCGACTTCCAAGGTCCCGTCAGGTCTATCATTACCAACACCACAAAACACCACTATACTCGACACATACACACCTACGGCCTGACGAAGCCCTAAGACAGCAGTCGCCTCATATCCAGGTAAGTAATATCTATTTGATTAGCCTCCCCTTTAATTGTAGTAGGATACAACATTTTCCATATAGTTTATTGTGATAGAACATTTCCATGCGGCCATATTGAGGCCCGACCTGCGTCTGCTCGTGAAGTCTTCTGCTGAATGGGCCCCGGAGGATGTGATCTTAGGAGGGGCAGCCGTAGGCCGTAACAGTCTACTTAACTTTTATAGATTCATAAATATTTTATAAGAAAAAAAAAAGAAGAAAAAACGGCAATGAAGATGGTGGGTAACCTTTGTCAACTGCAGCCGAAACCAGTGATTAACTATTTCACTTTATCTAAATAATATAGTTTCGCCCTTGTAAAATTCTCAATTTGATTTGAACCCACTCTTAATGGAATATGGGTGATAAACGAGCCACCACCTGATTGTATGTGAGTACTGTGGCCCATAAATATTTTCAACTATCTTTAAATAAGAATCAAATTTGCTTACAGATGGATTTATAATTAAACGCTAATTTGACATTTTCATAACAATGATAACGTCCTCCATACCGAATATCTGTCACGACGGCCAAATTGAAAGGAAAGCCATCGGCAACAGCCATAAGCAACTCCTTCAATTCACTGAAGATATAGCAGTGCCATAAGCAGCAATCACAATAGATCCTACTGGTCAAATAAAAAAAAATGGTATTTTGCACATAAACATATTAACGTTTTTATTCCTCATAGTTCTGCACTGCTGGATGTGACCTTGAAGAGGAGATTTGGAGAACATAGCTAAAAATATTTCCCTTTTTTATAGGAGAGGGGGCGAACAAGCTCACGGCTCACCTGATGATGACTACCGCCGCCCATGAACAACTGCAACGCCAGAGGAATTGCAGGTGCGTTGCCGGCCTTTTAGAAAAGAGTAAGCTCTTTTCTTAAAGGTCCCTAAGTCGTATCGGTCCGGAATAATCTCCGGTGGTAAACTATTCCACAAAGAGGTCGTATGTGGAAGAAAACTCCTAGTGAAACGTACAATGATGGACCGCCAAGCATCCAGATGGCATTGCCGCGGAGGATATAGGGAGTTTTGCCACGATGTGCGGTCGTGAAATTTGGCGGCTGGGATTAATCCGAAGAATTCCTCAGAGCACTCCCCCAGTTAGATGCGAAAGAAAATGCAAAGGGATGCAACATCTCTTCGCAGCGCCAGTGAATCGAGCTGATTGGAAAGGACTCGGTCAAGTGGAAGGAGCTAGCACTGGGGAGCCCCAGCCCAGATTTGGGAACAGTATTCCAAGGTCGAACCTGTGAAATACTATCCCGCTCTACTGAGCACGCCAAGCTTTTTAGTGGTCAATTTGGCCTTCTCTTCCAAGTGACCACAAAATTGCACGTTACTCGATATGTCGACGCCGAGGATTCAAATACTGGCTGAGGCAACAAGGGGAGTGCCTTAAAACTGAGGAAATATGACAAAGGAGATCTTCTTAGCGGTAAACGCGCAAACTTGTGTCTGTCTTCTGAGGATTAAACTGAACTAGATTTAGTCGCCCCCAATCCAAGACTTTGTTCAGCAAAGATTCGACGTCAGACACAAGTTTGTTCCGGTACTCGGCGACGTTTCTCCGAGAAATATTGTCACGGCCAGTGTAGAGTATCACCAGTGCTGTCGTCTGAATAGCAAGGAATGTTACCGGTTCGCAACATATCACTTATATGCAGAAAAAACAGCGTTGGTGATAGCACGCAGCCTTGTGGAACACCAGCGTTAATGGGCTTGTAATCGTAATATCGTAATAAATTACTAATGAGGTTTACTTAAGATTATTAATAATAAGGTAATCTTAATAAATCTAAGGTAATCTTGCCCTGCTTCTTCATCAGCCTGTAAAAGTCTACAGCTGGACATCGTAACACCAGTGTTAATAGGCTTTTAATCGGAGCATGCACCATTTACAAATATCTTGATGCTCCAATCTGCAAGAAAGCTGGTGATCCAATTGCACAATTTCTCGGGAAGGGAGCTTCGAAAGTAGAGCTTTGTGCCAAACCTGATCGAAGGACTTCGCATTGTCTAAACTAACGGCCAATGCCTCCCCCTTGGACTCTACTGCCACTGCCCATCTATAAGTCAGGAAGACCAGAAGATTACCAGCTGATCGACCCCGACGAAAACCGTATTGACGGTCACACACAATCAGCTGGTGATCCTCAGGTACCGCATGAGTTGGCAGTTTATAATGGATTCCATTATTTTGGAGAACAAGGTGATCCTCAGGTACCGCATGAGTTGGCAGTTTATAATGGATTCCATTATTTTGGAGAACAAGGTGATAGCGATAGGCCTGTAGAATAGAATAATTTTTTATTCAATATTGATTATTACATAATACGAGGGTGGAAAAGTACTCTGCCTAACACAGATCCATTCAATTCTAAAAATCAAATCTACCCACATTATTTAGTTCAGTTCAGACTAGTTCATTGTGTGAAGTTCGAAACATGTGCGATAATTAGTTGTGATTTTATAAATTTATTAACAAAGTAATCGGACATAATTTCCACGAATGGAGCAAATCGAGCAGCGTGCCGTCATTAAATACCTCCATAAGAAGGGGCTATCATCAAAAGCCATCCATGATGACATGGTCAGTACATTAGGCGATTGTGCTCTGTCATATTCATCCGTCAAAAAATGGATAGCAGAATTTAAGCGTGGTAGAGAGAGTGTGAAAGATGAACCCCGCTCTGGAAGGCCTTCGACGTCAACTACTGACGAAAATATTAAAAAAGTACTTGATTTAATAATGGGAGACCGCAGATTAAAAATTAAGAGAGATAGCCGAGATTATAGGCATCTCTTATGAACGAACTCAAAACATCATTGTCAACGAGTTGGGTTTCCACAAGGTGTCTGCGAGGTGGGTTCCGCGACTGCTTTCAGTTGAACAAAAAAGGACGCGATTGACTATTTCACGCGACTGTTTGGAGTTATTTGAAGCCGATGCAGATGATTTTTTGAATCGTTTTGTTACTATGGACGAAACATGGGTTCATTACTGTACACCGGAAACAAAACAACAATCAAAACAGTGGAGAAGACCTGGTTCACCACCCCCTAAAAAGGCTAAGTCGATTTTGTCGGCAAATAAGGTGATGGTTTCAGTATTCTGGGACTCGAAAGGTGTGATTATGATTGATTATCTTGAAAGGGGTCAGAATATAAACTCTGATTACTACTGCACCTTACTACGTCGTTTACGAGAGGAAATAAAAGAAAATGTCTAGGAATGCTCAGAAGAAAAGTCCTGTTTCATCAAGATAACGCCCGTGTTCACACGTCAGTACAGTCAATGGCTGAAATTCACAACTGTGGCTTTGAACTGTTACCGCATCCGCAGTATTCACCTGATCTGGCACCATCAGACTTCTTTCTGTTCCCTAACCTAAAAAAGCACTTGGGAGGTCAAAGATTTTCGACAAACGACGAGGTCAAAGCAGCTGTAGACGCATATTTTGACTCTAAGGAAGAATCATTTCTTTTCAACGGTCTAAATGCTTGGAAGGCGAGGTGGCAAAAGTGTATTGAACTTGATGGTGATTATGTAGAAAAATAAAAATATAGCTGATTTAGTATTTGTTTATTTTCTTGGTTAGGCCGAGTACTTTTCAATCCACCCTCGTACTTATTGAAATTCATTTTTTATTTACCACCATGTAGTTAGACAGGTCTGAGCGGTCGCCTTTTTTAGGGGTTGGGTGGACCAAAGCAGTCTTCTATGATTTCGGGATTACGCCTAGGGAGTAGGAGTACCGGAAAAGACGCGTTCGAACCATTGCCAACTCTGGAGCACACGTCCTCAGCACAACTGGCGGCATTCCGTCAGGTCACTCGACTTGTGGATGTCCAGGGAGAGGAGTGCTTTGCGAAACCAGCGCTGTGTTAATCGTACATTCGGCATGGAGCACTCACACCGCGGGATGATCGGCGGTATGTTCCCCCGTCTTCGAGAGTCGAGTTGGACGCAAAGAAAGAGCCTAGCAGATTGGTTTTCTCTTTTGCGGCATGGGCCAGTAAGTCGTCCTCCCTGTGCAGAGATGGAAGAGATGGCTGATAGAAGTTCCCTAGGACAGCCTTGGCAAGAGACCAGAATGCACAGGTTCCCTAAGGAAGGCGAACTATAACTGCCTTGCCGTGTCATGGCAGCTTAAGAAAATACACTATTCCATATAATCCCAGAGTGTTGCAAGATGATAGAGGGTTATTGGCAGTTGGTAATCCACCCACCTCGTGGGTCAACGGGGATGCCTATGTTCAGCAGTGGACTTTTGATAATCTGTATTAAATTAAATTAATGATGTTTGCTTTTAAACATTTGTCAATTTAAACATTAATTTCTTTTAATAGTTCTCATAGCAGTTTACTAACTTATCCAAATGTCTTGTTTCAAGTAGATAAATATTGTTTTAAGATTTTATGATAATCATGACTGTAGTTAAGCCATAGATAGAAATACCTGTGCACACTCACGAACTTTGCGGTCCGTATCCACTGTGAAGATTTGATAAAAATGTGTCCAGCTCGGCAGGGCTGCCACAACATCATCAGCATTTCCGTTTTTAATCAGTTCAAGCAGTTCTTGAAGAGCCTGCAAGAAAAAAACATTTGTTCAACATATGCGTATACACTTGTATATAGATATATACTTTATTTTTTAATTTCCTTAATTTTACTGACGTGTTTCTAAGTTCTATCCTATTTATACTTTTGTCTATATAGCTGTAGTATGTTTACAAATGCTAAAATAACTTGAATCTTGTTACATTTTTATTTTTTTTATCTTGCACTTTAAACCTTTATTTGTCATCATTCTTTGCATCCAACTCGGCCAAATAGTACCTAGATAATCGGTACTCAACTGAATAGGATAAAAGTATTCTGAATAAGCCGAATACTGAATAATAGCCAAATATTCGTTACAAGTCTAATAAACAAAAATTATTTGTTTCTCTAGGCATATTCGATCAAATGTGATAAGCATCATCAATATCATTGAGTGAACAATTTGGTGAGGTAGTTCTATTGCATTAAATAAAAAATATTTATTGCATCGAAAGTGTCCAGATCCGAGTCTTAGATGCTGTTACTATGTCACACCTTATTTACAAACAACTTTAATATAAGTCGAAAATCATACCTTAGTTCTAGTTATAGGATCCTTTTTGTTAAATTTTTTGAAGCATAAAGCATATTCTGTGTTAAGACCCTGTTCTAAATTAACTGCTGCCAAGGTTGGAAAAAGTGGTGGCAGCGGCTTTCCAGTTCCTAAACCAAAGAATGCTGGATCTTTCACAGAACTACTGAGCAGTTCAGCACTCCGACCACTGCTCGAGGGCTGAAAAATTATAAATAAAAAAACTTTACCTACAAATAAAATGGTATCAATGGCAGGGCTCATTCCTGTCAAGTTTATCACATTAGTAAGCCTCATTTAAGCTATTCCTGCCATTAAGAAACAGGGGGTCAACTTTTTATGTAGTTTCAGTAGTCTTCAGGAACAATAACGCATCTATAACCTATATTTAAATTTAGTTGCAGCTGTTCATATATGCTATAGCATTTACCGTCAGGGGGATTGTTAGATATTTTTAGTAACAGATTTTATGACATGTTATCATAAAATCTGTTTCTAAAAATAATTATAATTACTTAGTAGGTACCATTAAAATCTTTATGTAATGAAATAAACATAAGAAAACATCAAAAATGTATCAAACTGGAGTTTATGACAGAATAAAATTTAAGAAACAGCATTTAATTGCCCATATCATATGTGGTAGAGCTATGCTGCATAATAAAATGACAGTAGTGCTATATGATGTTTTTGACGCTAGGACCACATTCCTATAGAATACCAGCGTAAACTAGCAACTTAATGTTGTGTTTCGTATAGTGAACGCTAAGCGTAGAATCATATCCTTTTTATTGGAATTCCTTTTTTTTTATGGAATAAGGGTGCATAGGTGTTCGTCGTTAGGGTGAAAAGGTGCTCGTTTGTTACCCTTATACTTAAAGAACAACGTTATATTTTAGATTAAAAAGAAATTAATATGAGCATTTACTTACTCTTGCATTATTTTTAGTTCTATGAGCTTGTTTTGCTTTTCCTCCCATTGCTAAATTCTTAAAATGTACGAGTATAATCAGATACTGTCATAATACGTTGTAAATACTATGTAAATATTATATTAATGCTAGGATTTGTGAATTTTTAATTTTATATTTACTAAATAAGTTCTTTGAATGCAATTGCAATGCAGGTAAGTAATGTAATTACATTTCAAGGACAAGGCATGGGCATGGGTCAAAATAACACGTCAACGTCAACGTCAAAGATTGACATAAGGACAATAATTTTTTTTCATTTATTATGGCCATTGACTACAAGGCCTTCATCCAAAAAGAGCATATCAAACGCTATTATTGGAAAATAATTGTAATAATATGCTAAGAAAATTACTTTATAATTATGTTGATGCATTATATTGTGATGTTTTCAGAAGATTTTGACTGCAGCATATTCCAGCAAACTGTCGATGACTATAGTGCCAAGTTCTTAAGGTACCTAAGCGAACAAAATATTTTGAGGGTTATTATCACCATCAAAGTATGCTTTGATGGTGATAATTAACCTCAAGACCTAAGATTTGATCGATTCTTCTAATAGTTTATATGTTGGGTAGATGGTTAGTTTAAAAAAATTGCATCACTTTCACATCAAAATCCTCTTCAAAATATTATAATGGATATTAAAACAGGAGCAGTATTCTACCGGCGGTCAAGTTACCGGTAAAACATCATATATAAATAAAATAATAAATAATAAATAAAATTGAAGTGTCCGTTTGTAATGTCAAAATTACAGCTTTTTACTAAATACATATGAAAGTATATACGGTACTAATAACAAAAATACAATTTCTAAAGTGTTTGTCTGTCTGTTTGTCTGTCTGTCCGTCAGTCTGTCTGTTTGTTCCGGCTAATCTCCGAAACGGCTGGACCGATTTTGACTAACTTTGAGTAACTTACTTAGGTTACTTTTATTTTAGAAAAAGAATTAGGGTTCCGCGCAAAAACATTAAACCCCCAAATAACACGTGGGCGAAGTCGCGGGGAATAGCTAGTATTAACTATATATTGGAAACTTTTGACGCATTTAAATAAACACAATATGTAAAATGTATGTAAGGAAATACTAAATAGAGTACCAATAAATAAAGATTATAACAAATTAATCTATAGAAATCTGCCTAGTTTGCACCGGTGTAGTTATATTCGTTCCATATCTAAAAATACTTAGACACTGCTGATATATTATGAATGTGTGCGTAAATGTCATAATACAGATTTACACACACATTTACAATCATATATAATAATACAGACAGATAATTTGCTTTATAAAACATTTTCAACAAAAGGTTTATCGCAGCAATCCTCTTATTAGTCTGTGCATTGCATTACTAGACTTTTCGAACTACTAGGCGTCTTTTTTTTATAGGAGAGGGGGCAAACGAGCATGCGGCTCACCTGATGGTAAGTGACTACCGCCGCCCATGAACAACTGCAACACCAGGGGAATTGCAGATGCATTGCCGGCCTTTTAAAAAGGAGTAGGCTCTTTTCTTGAAGGTTCCTAAGTCTGGAAAAATCGCTGGTGGTAATCGATTCCACAAGAAAGTTGTGCGAGGGAGAAAACTTCTTTTAAATCGCACAGTGGTGGACCGCCAGTCATCCAGATGATATGGATGGTATCGCGAGTTTTGTCGCGATATGTGATGGTGAAATTGAGCGTCTGGAATTAGTCCGAACAATTCCTCAGAGCACTTTTATAGAATAAAGTGACAAACGAACACACAGTCCACCTGATGGTAAGTGGTTACTGTGACACATAGACATCTATATCTATCCTCAATAAAGACTCAAGATGCAGATGCGTTGTCACCCGTGAGGACTAAGATGGAATGCCTCTTTGCCAGTAAAAAGGGTCTCCGGTTCTCTACACTCACCATACGAAACACAGCAGTGTCAAGCTGCCATATTACGCTGGTATTCTGTGAGAGCGTGGTCCTTCCCCGGTCGAGCCGACCCATTCGTGCTACAACTATACTACTAATATAGCTGCAGCATGGCTCTACCACGTAGATGCGATAAAATACGCAAAGAGATGCAATATCTCTACGCAGTGCCGATGAGTCGAGCCGATTGGAAAGAACTCGGTCGTCGACGATTCAAACCGCTCTGCGCTGGATGCGGTCAAGTGCAAGGAGCTGGCACTGGGGAGCCCCTGCCCAGAGATGGAAACAGTATTCCATGTGAGGCCGAACTGCGCCTTGTGAAGTTACAAGTAGTGCTCCCGCATGAAATACTGTTCCGCTCTGCTGAGCACGCCAAGCTTTTTAGAGGCCAATTTGGCCTTCTCTTCCAAGTGACCACGAGAATGCAAGTCACTCGATATGTCGACACCGAGCATATATTGGCTGAGGCAACAAGGGGAGTGCCTTGAAACTGAGAAGATACGACAAAGGGATTCAATTTAGATGTAAACGTGCAAACTTGTGTCTTCTGGGGATTGAACTGGACTAGATTTAGTCGCCCCCAGTCCGAGACTTTGTTCAACGAATGTTCCGGTACTCGACGACGTTTTCCCGAGAAATATTGGCACGGCCGGTGAATAAAGCATCACCAGTGCTTTCATCTGCATAGCAATGAATGTTACTGGTTTGCAACATATCATTGACTAGCTGTGCCCCGCGTCATCACGTGACCGAGGTGCATTTTATAACGGCTAAGGTTTAAACGTCGTTCGCGCGCCAGCCAAGTATTGAATTATTTTAATTTTACATTATCTCTTAAACTATGCGTCGAAATAACATGGTATAAGGAACAGAGTTTATCTTCATAAAACTATCTTGATGATGAAGTAACTTTCGTTCGTAAGGATAAATAGGCCATGCCTAATAATAACGCTTGTTACGGCCTACGGTTGCTCCCTTAAAGGATCCAATCCTCTGGGGCCCATGAGCAGAAGACTTCCCGAGCAAACGTAGGTCGGGCCTCAATGTGGCCACGTGGAAATTCCTAATTACAATAAACCAGATGGGAGGACGTTAGAAGGACATAGTACTCACCATTATCCGAAGCTAACCTCGCACCAAGGCTTGGGCAGGCCGTGAGTGTGTGTAATAGTGGATGGAGAGTAGAGTACAGTGAGGGGTGAATGTGTGGGGCCTTGTCAAGCATAGGCGACCAGCTGCTGTCGTGTTCCAGGCTGCTCCAAAATGCTGCCACACTGCTTCAGACTGCTTCGGCGCCGGACCACAGTCACTTTCTTCTTTCGTCACGATGACAGTCACTTAACTCTATCGTACGATTAACTAGCTTACAGAAGCCACTAACTATCGCGGGGTATAAGGGTACCGCACAAAACACGCACGGAGTTTCTGGATCAAAGGTCACTACCGTTTCGCGTTGCAACAGTTAGTTCTAGAAAACAGAGGCCGCACTAGCTAATATTTTCGAATGCTCTTATACAGATTCTGAGTCGGACCCATTAAGTCCCGGGGAAGCTCTCCAGTAGGGATACGCGCCACAAAATTCCTAGACCGTATTTTACTGTCCGCGCTTAATTATTCCGAGTTCCCGCGCTTAATTGGCAGCGTGCCAATCGTGAGCACTGCCTAAGGACGACTGACTGCCCTTGGGCGTTTTTCGCACGACCGAAAGTCAAACCGGTATCGCGCCGAGCCGAGTGACATCTGGCGTCGATTCTTGACAGCGTTGAGCGCGAACAAACCCCCGTCCCGGACATAAGGATTTAGGTCCGCGAGCAAACCGGTCAGCGGGACTAAGTCGAGACTCTTAAGTTGCAAGACCGAATCTACAACCAAACTAGGCCACCTTAAGCAACCCATCAGATCTTGCAACCCTAACAACGCCTCAAAAGACAGCCCTAGTGTGGCAAGCCGGAGGGCCAGCCTCCACTGGATGCCCCTCCTGGGCATCGCAGCATTTTAACAAGTCCTGTACTGGACAGAAGTCCGACGACCTCTTTCAAACACCTTTCTGTGCCCCTACTATTAGTTCCGCAATCCGACCGGATCAGCTCTGCAAACAGCGACGCGACACGAAGCGGCCCCGAGCGGCCTCCTAAGCTTCAGTGCAGAGAGCACCCACAAATTCCACATGAACGTCGTCTGTGGAGAGCCGAACGAAACGCACAGATAGTCCCTAGTATGAATTTTCAACAAGTAGGCCTAGCCAGGCCACCCACCATATTATCATTTACTAAAATAGTGCGGCAGCTGATTTCAATCAGATAATCTCCAAAACTAGCTAGCCTGTTAGACAAGTAGTCCTATGCTCATATTTCAACTAATTTTTCAAAAGCATCAATGTTCAACTACAGAATTAATTCAACCAAATTAATCACCGATGCGCATAGGTCAACTTGCAAATTAAACAAAACAATAACGTAAGGGACAGCCCTACTTCTTCGCAAAGCAAAATGATTAAACACTATCATAAACATAAACATAATTTTTCAAATAGTGCGCCATTCACTTTCAGATGAATTCAAATTTTCCTTTCGGCAAACAGACGCAACAATCAAATACAGTGATTAAATATATTTACAAAGCACATGCAGTAGCATTTAAAGGAGTAGATTAAATTCAATTCTTTTAATTTAAACCGCTACAAATAGGAAATTTTCGCGGAAAGCCCAAACCATTTTTTAATTTTAATTCAAGTATTTTTTGACTAAGTGCTCGACCAAACCAAATCTAATACCCCTTGACAGCGTGATTCAACGCTCCAGAGGGGCCCTAATCTTCCCAACACCAAGGGGAGGCCACATGGCGTGAACCCGAGATCGCTAACAGTCGCCACTCGGGTTGTACGCCTTCACTGAGGCCGTCGGCAACAGAACATTTTGACAAGTGGACTGTTGACGGCTTAAGGCTCAGTGGAGGTGGCCGTGGTGGGAGCTAAGGCGGCAGCTAGCCAGGGCCGCCTCCATCAAATGGGGAACAGTGGTACACCAGTCGCGGCCACTCAGCTAACGGGAGTGAGAAGGGTCCAGCGGACCGATGAGTGGCCGTGAAGTTCCTCTC